TCCAGCCTCTGTAGTTTGAGCGAGTTGTTTTTTTGCAACACGTGGTTTTGCAAGAGGATTGGCCTGTTCCTATTGACCAATCTTGGCTGCTTAATCACAAGCATCCTTATCATTTCATGAGTTGCAGTAAACATCCACTGTAATCAACTGACCAGATTTCATGAAGCTGTGGTGGATAATACCAGTACTGGATCACCAAACAGACACCATTAGCTTTTTTTTTGATGAATATTCAGTTTTGGACTGTGTTTTGGCACTTCATCTTTATCCAACCATTGTGCTGAACACTTGCGATTGTCAAAAAGAACCCATTTTTCATCACACATAACAATACAGTGTAGAAATGGTTTGCCTTTATGTCGTGACAGCAAAGAAAGGCAAGATTAGAGACAATTTCTCTGTTAACACTTGTTTAATTCATGTGGTACCCATCTGTCCAGCTTCTTTACCTTGCCAATTTGTTTCCAATGTTCCAATGTTGTTGGAATAGTAACATCGAACCTTGCTGCTAATTCAGTGTAGGTTGAGATGGATTCGCTTCCACTACAGCTTTCAGCTCATCATTATCCACTTTGGTCTCCCATATGGCTCATTTTCAAGATTAAAATCACCAGAATTGAACTTCTGGAACCATTGACGTACTGTGCGTTCATTAGCCACATCCTTCCCAAACCTTTCACTCATATTTCGAGCTGTCTGTGAAGCATGGGTTCCATGATGGAATTTGTATTAAAAAATGACATGGTTTCACAAAAGTTGCTCTAAAAAACAATTTGAAAGATAATCACAAGTCAGTAACCAAGCATTTGAAATAATGAGAATGTACCTTCAGAATAAACATAAAATAAGAAATGTCAAAGTGAAAATGTCAGAGATATCAACTGTCAAACTTAGCACTGAAGGAAATCGGACATTTTATACTTAATGACCTAATTGTTTGGGAGTGATAGAATGGAGGATTTTGTGAACCATGGAATAGAGAGTTGAAGGCAGGAGAAAGGGCTGGGGATCTAAATCAGGAAATGGGTACCATAGAGCATCATGGGGAGCAGAGGAGGAGAAGAAAATGTAGTTGACGAGGGTAGCATCTAACATATTTTGGGCAGTGACTGAAGCAAGCCCTGGATGGGTTTATGTTTATTTGGCCACAGTGTTAGCCAGGGTAACAAACCCCCATTTATCTCTGGAAATGGTGGAAACTCAACCCACTGCATGCTTATGTGCTGCCTGGAAGGGGAGGGCGGCGAGGTCCAGGGATTTGAAGGTGGGCTTTCTTTCACCTCGAAGTCATCAGAGGGCAGAGGAAAGTGAAGAGCTACAGGTGAAAGAGTGAGACAGGAGATCATCTGCAGGCCAATGCCCCTGGGCATCGAGAGGGATGTGATCACAAATGAGGATACAGGCCTTAGACAAAAGGACAACCCTTTCATCAAAATCCCAGGAAAGGAAGAAAGGATGAAAGTCACTGTATCAGTCATCTTAGTCTGGGTTATGTCATAACAAACAATCCTCAAATCTCAGTGGCTTAAAACAACCAAGGTTCTTCTTTGTTTGTGCTACATGCTCACTGTGGATTGGCAGGGGAACCACACCATCAAAGAAACACAGGGGATGATCAACCACTGTCTTGAATGTTGCTGGTCTCTGTGCCGGAGGGAAGCGAGCTCAGAGGGTGTCACTTTGGAGGTTCTGGCAATGGATGTGACAGGGATTGCTCTTCTTCGAAACTCATTGGCTAGAATTAGTCTCATGGCCCACCCAATCACAAAGGGCCAGGAAGACAACCCTACCATGTGCCTATAAGGCAGAGAATTGGAATTTACTTGGTGAACAGCACTAATGACCCTCACAGCATTTTATCCTGAAAAGCTTTATTGTCAGAAGTCATACATAATTCCAGGGCTGGAAAGAACCTTGGAGACAAGCCAGTGTAGGCCCAGGTCACCAAGAACAGCAGCAGGATGACTGGACACCGTCTCCTGTCCCCCTGTCCCTGAGCTCCATGGCAGCCTGGCACTGCTCTGAGGTTTGTCTTCCCCAGGATTAGGAACTTTCGAGTGTCCTCTGTCACCCAGAGTCAGACATTTGTTAATGCTCTTTGCATCCCCAGAGTGTTGATTCTGTCCTCGGCTGTTGCCAGTTCTACCATGATGTCCATCAGAATTAAATTTGCTTTCTTCCAAGGGGTCATCTCAGCTGATGAAACACCCAGATGCAGAAGCCTCTGTAGTACTTTGTGGTCTCTTCAGCCCGGTTCTGACCCAGCAGCTTTTGAACATTCTCCATACTTTGCCTGCACGTCTCATAGGCACTTCTGTTATGTACCTTGTCTATCTCCTCCTGGATTCCTTTCCTCACCTCCCAGGTTAGGTTAAGTGACACCTCAGTGCTCCCACAGTCCCCTTACTTCCTTGTGTAATGGCACTTTGATGAGGACACTTGTCACACCTGAAACACCATAATACTGAACAAAGATAAGTCCCAGCTCGAGGTGGCCTCTGCAGTGTCAGGAACCCATCTAAGAACCCCACCAGGGTTTTCTGCACGGTGTTTTGTGACCTCTGGAAGGCAGCCAGGAAAGGGACAGAGTGCCTGAGGTTCATGAGAGATATATGGAACATTAATAATAAAAAATTATGGAGACTCCAGCCAATTAATGAGTGTGTAGCCATGTAAGACTCTCAGAATGGATCCTTACCACATTCTTCGCTTAGAAGATGCAAGATTCGATTGCTCCTCCAATTGCTGGCAAGCCAGAAGAACTTCAGGAGCTGGGGCAATTGGGAATTGGTGGCTGCACTGCAATTGTGATGAGAATCACAAGAAAGAGGAACTAAGGAGTTAATGGAAAGAATTTAATTCAAGTTTTCAAACTTTGGTGTAAGAATCAACTGTACGAGTAACACTATGCAGCCTTAAAAAAAAAAAAAAAAAAAAAAGGGCCGGGCGCGGTGGCTTATGCCTGTAATCCTACCACTCTGGGAGGCCGAGGCGGGAGGATTGCTTGAGCTCAGGAGTTGGAGACCAGCCTGAGCAAGAGCGAGACCCTGTCTCTACTATAAATAGAAAGAAATTAGCCAAACAACTAAAAAGAGAAAAAATTAGCCGGGCACAGTGGCACGTGTCTGTAGTCCCAGCTACCTGGGAGGCTGAGGCAGGAGGATCGCTTGAGCCCAGGAGTTTGAGGTTGCTGTGAGCTATGATGATGCCATGGCACTCTAGCCCAGGCAAGAGAGTGAGACTCTGTCTCAATAAATAAAGAGAGAAAGAAAGAAAGAAAGAACGCAGATTTAGATGTTTAGATAGGGAAAGGCTTCCAAGCTATATTTTCAGGTAAACAAGCAAAGGATGTTAACAGATGATATGGTGTGCTACACCATTTATATAAAAAAAAAAGACGGGGTGAATTTTACATGTATGTTCAAACATAGTTAATATTTGTAAGGAAATACAAGAAACTTGTATATAGTTGTCTCCTGGGAGGGGAACTGGGAAGCTGGGGAGAGAGGAAGGATCACTTTCGTATCTTTTGAATTTTGTGTCATCTGTATTACCCATTTAAAAAATCAACTACCCCAAAAAATGCATGTGTTATCCTGTAACAGAAAAAGGGTATTGGTGGAGAACTGGTGAAATCGGAATAAATTCTGTAGTCTAGTTAGTGATACTGTCCCAATGTTAAATTTCTTAGTTTTGGCAAATGTACCAAATGTATCTTTTTTGGTGGTTGGCTGTTTCCTGGCTCTTAATTCCATTCTACCCATTTCTCCCCAGTTGTGTGAAACTCACACAGACAACTCTGACCCCCTAGCATTTTCCAGTTTCCTGTGCCTATCATGCCTCTCATTCTCTTCTTGACTTTGGAAGCTGTACTCATCCTTCAAGGACAAGTTCACCACTTACTTGTTCTGGAAACTTTGCTCCCCCTCAGTGCTCTTCTAAGACATGGTATCTATTCTATGAGCTTCTGACACGTGATTTTTTTTTGGAGACAGGGTCTTGCTCTGCCACCCAGACTAGAGTCAGTGGAATCATCACAGTTCACTGCAATCTCAAACTCCTGGGCTCGAGTAATCCTCCTGCCTCAGCCTCCCAAATAGCTGGGACTACAGGTGCAAGCCACCACAACCAGCTAACTTTTGTTTTTTGTAGAGAGGGGGTGTCGCTCTTGTTCAGGCTGGTCTTGAATTCCTGACCTCAAGCGATCCTCCTGCCTCAGCTCCCCAAAGTGCTAGGATTACAGGTATGAGCCACCGTGCCCAGCTGACACAAGGTTTTCTGTTTTAGATTTCTGTCTACGAACTAGATTCCCCAGGATGCAGACTCTAAGATTAAAACTAGATGCACCTAAGTTTTTTTATGGATTAACGTCTGTAGAAGGGAAGGCAAGCAAGATCAGGCAGAAGCAGCAGGGCAGTGATGCAGTCCTAACAAACGCTCTAGATCCCGTAGGGAGCTCTGAAGCAGAGGTGCCCTTTGAAGGTGTCCCAAATTATAGTAAGAGGGATAGGGACCACTCAAGAGAGGGGGCATGACTCTGGCTAAGGCAGCTCTCTTTAGCAGAGGCACTTCCCAAAGAGGGCCAACCAATGGAGTCATCGGTCAGCCACACTCCTAGCAGCTAGGTGGAGTCAAGCGCTTCATTCCTGGAAGGTGGTTCCTCACCCCACTATAATTTTATTTTATCGCTATATTCCCAGTGCAAGGACTAGAATATAACATTCTAACTTGAAAGACTGAAGGTACTCTGGCTCTTTGAGGGCAGGGGCGTGGATCGCAGGATTACATGCAGTTCGTTCCTACACTAAGAACCAAGTACATTCTTCCTCACCTGGTTCCCACCATAGCATACAGAAATACAGCTCCCCTTCGATTAGTGGCTTACCAAGAGCCTGAGAAACCGTAAGTTGTTCACCCTCCATTTGGCAATGAGAACAATCTAGGAGAAAGCAGATTTCATTCTTAAAGTAATAACATTTAATAACTTTTCAGATCTTTTGTCTTTTCAAGCAAATGAATACCTTTATTAATATGGTAAGTTTTCTTTTTTTAAACATGGTAGGGTTTTGACCTCAAATACTTGTCAGGTCTGCTACTCAAATGAACTTACAGCTGGACAATGTATGAACCTTGAAGATGCCTCTTCCCAGTCCAGTTTAGGGTCCAATGCAGACGATTCCATGCTTTCCTTCCCCATCCCCTCAAGGTCTTTTGCAAACATCTCTTCCATTTTATGCCCAGAATCCCTTGAAATGCCTCAGGGTATTACATCAACTTGTACAGAATATCAAGATCTCATCCCCTATTCTAGGTTCCATGTCAGATAAAGATGAGTTAGGTTGTCCAAATAAACTCACCAGACAGGTTACATCAGATAGTGTACCACATAGAATTTAAATTTTGAACAAAATACATCTCTCCTCCTTTGGTCTCACATAGAAATTAAAGTCCCCAAATACAGACAATAATATTCTCCACCCCATCTTCAGATTCATTAGGCCTCGCCAGATCAGCCCCATCCACATTTCCAGTTGAAGTCTGGTCCTTTCTTCAGCAGCTGCTGCATGGAGTTGTCTTCTAGAATCAACGCAGCTCCTTCAGCAGCTCCAGAGCTGGAGAACTCCAACTCTTGAGTCTCATGTGTCACACACAGACCCAAAGTTCCAGGGAGCTATCAGGTCACACAAGAAAGAGCAAAGCACCTCAAAATTTAGAAATAACAACCAAAGCCCAAGAACAAATGTGACTGCTACAAGAGCTTACAATCTAGGCCCTAATTCCTGTATGTGAGAGCATTATTCCAAACAAAAGTTACTTCTCCAAACAAAAACATTTAACAATCAAAACTCATATTGAGGTCATCAACCACAGACCATAGCAGAAACGTAGTGTAAGTGAGGACAGAGTATAGACAGAGGAAAAAAGAGAAAACAAAAGGCTCTCTGGCTTCAGCTTCTCCAGGGTGTCAGCCAATCTCCATCAGTCGACCAAAATCCATTGGCTGTAAACCTAAAGCACAATTGGGAGAATTTCATCATCCAGAGGTTAGTACTGAGAGAACAACCCAGAACCTTCACCAACTCAACCATGCAGGATGCCACCTCCTCTAGATGCCATCGGACTCATTTCAGTCTTCTAGCAAAATCCAGAACTGCCCATTGGCCTTCCCTCTGGAAACTCTGTTTCTATCCCCCCTTGCTGGACGGCCTGGCCTGCCTGCTTTTGTTCCCTTTGCGACCTTTAGGTTTACTATCCTGTAAGTGTTCTATAGACAGTCCCTTAGGGACAACCAAACACGTTATCAAGCAAAAACCAAAACAAGCTTATTTTTCCAAACTACCATTTAAAAAACCATTTAAATGATATCCACTGATACCTTCCAAGTTAAAAACTTAGCGTGCTCTCACGCTCCCTCCCCCCACCTTCGACCCCATGTGGGTTTTTACTAAATCATTTTTCTCAACGGTCACGTTTACGGCGAGTACCGAGACTCCCGCCGGGCGCGCGGGTGCCCCCTTACCGCCGACGCCGCTTCACGACGACTCGCTTTTCTCTATCCGCCGGACCAGCTCCACCAGCATCTCTGCCATCTTCGCGATCTCCTTCGCCTTCTCCTCGGCCTTCTCGCACCTCTTGGCCGCCCTGCCCTCGACCCCGTCGTTGGGGTTCGGAAGATGATTCAGGGCGCTCTCCTCCGAGGCCTCCACCTGCGTCTTTATTTGGATGAGCATATTGTCCATCTCCCACAACTTGCTCCGATTCCGCAGGTACGCCCGCCCGTGCTCGCGGGTGAGCGACGCGATGTCCTCGCGCATCTCGTTGATGACGGGCAGCAGAAACTGCTCGAAGTCTTCCTCGGGCTCCAGCACCTCCACTTCCTCGGGCTCCGCCAGCTCGACGATGTCCAGGGGCCGCATCTTCTGCTGCTTCGGAAGCGCGGGCGCGACGTCTGCTGGAGAGACAAAATGGACACTCGCTACGTTTAGCAACGCAACTCCAGAATATTCTTTAAAACTTTTACCCTTTTTAAACTTTTCTCCTCAGAGAAGCCACGGAAAGAAGCGACTTACGAGCTGAGAAGCGGCGAACAAAATGGAGTCTCGGCCGTCAACCAGCGCTCTGCGCGTTGCGGCTCCTTTCACGACACAGCCGGGCGTCTTTACGGTCGGGCTGCGAGGCGCGGGCGCGCGCACGACGGTAAAGGGAGGTGCGGCGCGCTCACGCAGGCACTCACGAGCACGAGCGCGCACGCTCTCTCTCATTCCCGCTCTCCCCGAACTTGGTCCGTCACCTGTGTTGTACCCTGGTTTTGCGGGGTGATCTCTTCTGGGTGGCCCCCACATAGAGGGCTGCTCGGGTCCGGGAGTTGACATTGTTAACAAGGCCGTCCTACACCAGGACGGGAGGGTCCTAAGTAATGGTGTAGCAAAGGCTGTGACATCCCTGGGGTGATTTTCAGCCCTTTCCTCTCACGTGGGGCCAGCCGACCCCTCTCGCCATCCTGAAGTGTAATGTTCGCTCTTCCTTGGATTACAGTCAGAAGTGTCTGGGTGCCTTTTCACCAGCCGACCTCCCCAAGGGTCAAAGCCTGGTCGGATTCACCCTGAGGCCCCAGAGTTCAGTTTGTGGAAAAGGCCTTGTCAGTCGTCAGCCTTGCACCTGTCTACCGGGGGCCCTTGCATTCAGCTCTGTGTCCCTAACGCTCTGGGTAGCGCTTGGGACGCATTAGTAAATTTGCTTTAACATTCACTCAACACACAATTTAAGGAAAAATTAATTTCCTAGCCTATTGACCAGTCCCAAAACAGCATTAAACATTCCAGGAATCCAGCTTGCCAAAGTGCCAAAGATCGGCTTCTGTTTTCCAGTCAAAGGGACGCACGTCACAGATTTGAATATGGCAGAGTTAAGGATTAAGAGAAATAAAAGCATATCTTTTTTGAAGACTTTTCTCAGGTTCTTTACATCGTTTGCTCTTGTAAAAATGCAACTTTTGGGCTTTCTTGACATATCAGAGGCAGCTAGCTCATCATTTTTTTGGTATGAATAAAAATACAAGGCTCATGAGACACCACTAAACACCTATTGGAATAGTCAAAATCCAGAACGCTGCAAACACCAAATGCCGGTGAGGTTGCAGATCAACAGGAACTTGCATTCCTTGCTAAGGGGCAATGAAAAATTATATAGCCGTTCAGAAGACCGTTTGGTAGTTTCTTACAAAACTAAATCATACTCTTACAATATGATCCAGCAATCACACTCCTTGGTATTTACCCAAATGAACTGAAAACAAATCACTTATGTGAGAGAAAAGTATCATTTATGTGAGAGAAGAGGAAAGGGCTGGCTTGAATGCAGGAGGGGAAGAACCTGGATCTTAAAATGTACATTTTATTTAAAAAAATAAGAAAGCAAGCCCCAAATGTGATCATTTCCTGCCATTAGCCTGCCGGATTAGCAGTTTACTCCCCACCCTGGGTCTCTCCGCATTGCTCTTCCACGTCCTGGGTCTGTTCTGTTCCAGAGTCCCTGGGGCAGCCTTGGGGCCAGCAGCCTCTGCTGAGGGCTCACTGCTGTCGGAAGTGAACGAAGAATGTCCGGATTTCCTTCGGGTGGACGGTGACGGTGGGGCCTTCTGGCGACCTCGAGGGAAAGGTGGAGTGGCCTGGGGGGCAGAGGTGGTCTGTCCAGCACTGCCCCTTGGAGCTTCCTCCCAGCCTCCCCCTCACAACACCTTGCCTGTCTACAGTCTGCTGTGGCTCCCACTGTGACCATGGCCCTTGGCTGCCCCCGCCTGCTAGGACTCCTGCTGCAAGTGGGCCTTCTGCGTTTCTGCCCTACCCCCAGGGCCCAGCCCCACTGGCCTCATTTTCTCATGGGGTTTTGGACTCAAGGCCTAAGAGCTTTCTCACTGAGGCGCCTGGTGAACCCTGCCCTTTGTCTCACTGGGCTCCACTCTTGGGTGGGAAGCCTGTTCACCCATCCCTCACCCACCCACCTTCCTTCCTTTCCCTCCATCCCTTTCCAACCACCCATCATCCATCCTTCCTTCCTTTCCCCTTCTTTCCTTCTTCCTTCGCTCTCTCCCTCCCTCCTTCCTTCCTTCCATCCACCCATCCATCCATCACAGACCGAGCATCCACCATGTACCAGGCACTACGCCATGTGCAGTGGGCAAAGAGGAGGTACACGGGACAGAGGAAACCCTTGGGCAGGGCAGAGAGGAGGCACTTGACCTGGCCAGGGACTCAGGGGAAGCCTCCGGGCAAGTGTGGGCAGGAGCTGGCCAGAATGAACATGACAAGGGCGTTCCAGCAGAGATGACAGCACAGGCAAGGACTGGGAGGCATGAGGCTGCCTGTGGTGCGCAGGAGCTAACAGTGGTGTGTGTAGCGTGAGGCTTGGAATGGCTGACGTCAGCAGGGCCAAGTCGGGCAGAGGCCCCCGGGGCCCCCTCAAGAGCATGGGGCTCTCACACAGGGCACTGGCAGGGCATGTGGTCTGTGTGTGCATACAAGGCTGTGTGGAGCTCTGGCAAGTGGGGACTGAGCCAAAGCCTTTCTTAGCCCACTGGCAGATTTGGGAGGGCTGCAGATTCAGAGAGGGAAGGCAGCCACTCAAGGTCATACAGGTGTAATGGGCAGATGGCTGGATTTGAACCAGGTCTGTCCGGCTCCCGAGCCTGGCTGGGATGCTGGGCAGGGGGCTAAAGCAGGGGCTCCCAAACCTCTGCCGTGGCCAGTCTCCGTCCCCCAGCTCCAGCGGTGCAGTGTGCTCACATCCCAGGTCCCTGTGAGCGAGCGCTCCTCCACCGCCACCACGGGCCCCAGCCCCCGCAGTACTGCCTGCAGGAACGGGAGCAGAGGTGGGAAGCTGCATCAGTGAAGCCCCGGATCCAAGCAGAGAACCAGAACAGCAGCCACGCCGTGGACTGTGTGTCCTCAGGGCTCCAGGCCCTGCCCCGGTGCCTTGCACACCTCCTTCACCTACTTCTCACAGCACAGCAGCAAGGACAGGACTGGTTGCCAATTTTGCAGATGAGGAAACTGAGGCTGGAAAGTGTGTGCTTTGCCAGCAGGCCCAGGAGGCCTTTGAGCTGCTGGCACACGCTGCGTCCCTCCCCCACGTGCCCTGCCTGGGATGAAGCCGGTCTGAGTCATCCCATCCCTCCTTTCCCCCAGTAAGCTTGTCCCAGCTTCCCTTGCAGCTAGGGGAAGCAGAGGCCCATACAGTTCTGGAAAAGTCCGCAGAGTGGGAGGGTGGGGATGGTTCTTGGAGAAGCTTCTGTGCACTGAAAGGAGGAAAGAGCCGCTCCAGGGCAAGGCCCTTCTGGTGCTACCACTTGGCCCCCTTCTGCCTTTAAATTTGCTCATGTCGGAGGCCTGTGCCATCTAGTGATCACAAACAAGGACACGGGACAAAGAGCCAGCGTGCTGATGACAGCCGAGTGGGAAGATGGTCACCAGTCCATGACCGGACACTCTGGCCAGGTGAGAAAACACAAGCACTTCTGTTAGATGTTTTATGACTTGCAGCCAAACACACTCCTAGCTGTCAGCGGGTCTCCGCCCCGCCACCCCACCACCACCCACATGAAGAAGAAACCCGTGATGTCCCCCCTGACCATCCCCTCTTCTCGGGGCCTCTGCACTTCCTCCTATAAAACAGGCAGCACTGATGACCAACTTCCAGATTTGACACTGTCTTCTCTGCTCCTGTTGGCATCCTGGCTCAGGCCCGCGGCAGGTCGGGGACTGGTGAAGAGAGAGGTGGCCCCTCCATGGCGGGGGCCGTGAAGGAAGGGAAGGTGCCATGGTGTGGCGGGAGGTTATGGGGCCTCTCTCAATCCTCTGAGGACACATGTTGAAGAATGCCCAAGGCAGAAACGCAGAGACTTACAGACATTGTGTGTGAGCAGGCAATGAAATAAAGAGCTCCCAGCCCCGAGAAAGAATGCGAATTGAGGAAGAAATGAGGCATCTCAAGGTGGTATCTGCTGGGGAGAGAATGTGAGGGGGCTCTGAGGACAACATGGGGCACTGACACTTGATGAGCCTCCAGGGACCCGTGCACAGGGCCTCTCAACAGCCCTTGGGGCAAAGAACTCTCACCTCCCCCATTGTACAGGTGAGGAAACTGAGGCCCAGAGGCATGAGGCATTTGAGACGCCCGGTGGAGGCGGCTGGAGGCGGACCCTGGATTGTCTGACTCTAAGTGATCCCTCAAAGGCGTTGTTTTGTTATTACACACAGATGATATCTGTGTTGTTTAAGAAGTTTTACAACAAGAATAAATAATAAATAAACACAGGCTTGTCATAATACTCCACAAACGCAGGAGACATGAAGAGGCAGGGTGGGAGATGCGCCACCCTGAGCCCACCAGAGCCCACCCGGCATCCGTTTGCGAACACGCCCTAATGGGTCTCTTTGCCGAGGCCATTTCTCAGGCAGGGCCCTGCCAGGGAGGCCTGATCTGGTGGTCTGGGGGCAGCACTGGCACGAGGCGGTGGGGACAGTTTACCTCCAGATCCACTGTCACCGGCTGAGACAGGACCGGGTCCTCGCCCACCTCATACAGGTGGTGGAGCCGCAGCAGGACACGGCGGAGGTCAGCCTGGGCCTCCCCTCGATGGCCTTTGGGGGCAGAAGGAAGGTGTTGTTAACCAACTGTAATGCCCCCAGTCTATACCCAGTGACTCCTCTACCTCCCTGTGACAGACAAGGAAACCAAGGCTCAAAGAGGGGCAGTCACCTGCCCAAGGCCACACAGCTGGGGTGCTGCAGGAGGAGGATTCCCACCCAGGTCTAGCAGACTTTAAGGCCCCCCACCATGGCGCCATCAGTCACCCCGTAAGTCTCAGGCATGATTGAACCTGTCCTGAAATACTCCAGGTCTCTCCTTCCCTGCCCCCTTTGAAGTCATGTGTGGCCGCGTGGCCACTGTGTCCAATGCAAAGTGAGCAGAAGTGATGTGTCACTTCCTGACAGAAGCTTTTTCCCACTCTGGTGACGGAGGAAGCACGTGTTGCAATACAGCCTCCATCAGGGGTGCCTGGCAGCCACGGTGATAAAAAGCCTTCCTGACAACCCCCACAGGACACTAGCATGGGGGAAATGAATTCACACTGCATCAGGACAGGGAGGCTTGGGGCTCTTTGTCACTGCAGCATAACCCCTAATGGATACAGTGGTCTCGTTCACCACGTGATGTACGTGACCTCGTGTCCATCTGACCTTCCCGCACAGAAAGGCTCATTGTTGTGCTCCCATTTCACAGATGAGAAGACCAAAGCTCAGAGGAAAGTACTGAGTTCAAGGTCCCGGAAAGGTCAAGGCCTGGTTGACATCAGAGTTTCCCAAACCCCAGCTCTGCAACTATGCCCCAAAGCCAACTGAATTGGACTGTCTGGGGGGTAGAACTGAGGCATCAGTATTTTTTAAGAGCTCATCACAGGGCCATGAGGTTACTGGTTTTCAGACTGGCACACAGGAATGGCTGCCCAAGACCACAAAAGCTAAGAGGTTTGTAAAGTGGCTTCTACATGCTCCTACTGCATGGTCAAGGGTTCGAGTCCCAGAGGCAGAGAAGGCCCCATCTCCTGGGCTGTACAGCAGGGTGATGAGGGACCCGGCTTCCCAAGGCAGTTGCCAGCGTCCAGGGAAGCAGGCTCCTGACTCTCCCACCAGGGCGTCTGGGAGGCCTGCTCGGCCCAGCCCCTCTCTTCCTGCCCCCATTTGGAAGCAGGCCGCCTACAGGAAACACGTCTCCAACGGCGCTGGGCCACGCTCACAAGCTGGAAGGGAAGACTCTGTGGCTGCCGGGGGGCCTGCCCCGCCCTGTGTCTCTGGGATGGGGGAGGTGGTGATGCTGGCATTCAGCTCTGGGAAGCCAGCCTGGCTACAGGACTGGGCCGCAGCCTCCAAGATGAGCTTTGTCAGGACAAGGGTGTTGCTTGGCCTTTCAGGCTGATCCCGTGTCTTGCTTCTGCACTGGCTCAGGACTTGGGGGTTAATGCCTCTTCCTTCTCCTCCTTGCTCTTAACTCTGCGGACTCTTACTAAGCTGTCTTTCAGATGTGCCAGGCCCTGGGGACAGGAGGATGGCCGAGGCACAGTCGGACCCTGCTTCGAGCTGCTCACAGTGTAAAGGGGAAGTAAGGTGCAGCTGCGGCTGTGGCCACAGGACAAGTCGGCTCCTGGCAGGTGTTGCCTCCTCCAGAAGCCCTCTCTGATGCCCTGCAGGGCTTCATTTTATCACAGTCACCACAGTCTGGTGACTTGGCTGTTTCTGCCTCTACCGAGAGCTCACAGAGACCAGGGACCTTGCCCACCTTGGTCACCGCTCACTCCCCAGCACCCAGCACAGGAAATGCTGGTCGAGTGAATGAATGACTGGGAGCTCCCAGCAGTCAAGCTGCCTGAGCTCAGAGGATGAGTGGGAACTCGGGGGTTGGGGGCTCCAGGAGGTCTCCCTGGAGGAGGCAGGATAGGCATGCAGCCCTGAGGGTCAGGCAGGATGTGGACAGCAGTCTGGAGTTGGGGGTGGAGTCAGATCCATTCAGAGACTGGTGTGGGCTGGTCCTGGGCAGGGGTCCAGGCCCGCCCTGTCCCCAACTTGCGGAGTGACTCTGGTCACTCACTGACTCTCTGTGGGCCTCGCTGTCCCCATTTGCCAGATGGGGTCCGGGTGACCTTGCAGAGCCTTGACAACTCTAAGGGGAGCCCCTTTCGGGGGTGGGCTGGGGGCTGGCTGACTCCGGGAGGGAGGAGTGATCTGGGCCCCTTGTGCACCTGCCTCACCTTTCTGAAGACTCTGCACGTGCTCGGAGTGGTTTGAGCTGTAGTTCCAGCCTGCGATGCTTAGGATCTGCAGGTGAAGATTCGGGGGCAGTGTCACGGCCTCTTGCTTCTGGGGTCCTGAGCGGTTTGGGGCAGTCCCTGCAATGCAGATGGACAGAGTGAGGACAGGGTTTTGGGGCTCGACTCCTCCTCCTGGCACTCAGAGCTTCCACATTATGTGCCCCTGCCCTTTCCAGTCTCCCCCAGCCACCCCCGAGTGTAGCCTACACCGCATCAGCCCAAAGCACCTGCTGGTGCCAGTGCCCCAGGCTGCCACCTCCTCGCCTCTGCTCGTGCAGTGCTTCACCTGAAAGCCTTTCCTCCTGTGTGCCCAACTGCTGAGATCGTGGAGTTTGAGGGCTGGAAGGACCCTGAAGCTCCTCTAGCCACTTCAAACTAGAGACCAGGAGAGTAAGGCCCAGGGCGGGCACAGCTTGTTCAAGGTCGCAGCAAGTCCACGATGCAGAGCCCTATCTCCACTCAAGGTCTGGGGGGCCAGCTCCCCCGTGTGTTGCCATCTACCAGTCTCTTTGCTCAGAAGGCACCTCAGTGCCCTCTCCTTCCAACTCTGGACTTTCAGCGGGAGCTACCATCTTCTCACAATATCTCAGGTCACACCAATGCCTCCAGGCACAGGCCACCTGAACCCAGTGTGACAAATCAGAATCCTTCCCTAGGACTTTTGCACTCAAGACTGAAAGTCCGTGTTCTTTGAGAGCAGCCCCAGAGCTGCTCACAGCCACAAGCCAGGTAGAGGGAGAAGGATGGCAGCAGAGAGCAGCACAGGTGAGGGGTGGAGAAGGACAGCCTCAAGAGGGTTCCCGTCCTTGAGGCCAAATTATACCCCTGCCTTCTGCTCGGTGATGTGGGCCTCACGGTACACTCTCCTTAGGGCACAGCGAGCTCGAGCTGGTTTCTCTCACTTGCAACCAACAGGGACCAGAGTGAGGGTGGGTGGGACGGCGCTGACAGCAGCCATGGCGCTTGCTCAGACATGCTGACATCTCGCTCTGCAGGAAAGGCACCCAGCTGCCAGGAAGAAACCACTGATCGATCCAGGAGCAGACCCTGACCCTGCCAGGCCAATCAGATCACCCCTCCCGGGAATCTGAGGCAGGGGAGCTGAGGTGCCGGGCAGGTAGCTTAGTGGTAGTCCTGGGAGACATGGCCGTGAATGTCTGTTCCCAAGATACCCAGAGTTGCCTGCCTCCCACCCGCCCAGGCCTCTTGTCTGGCTCTTCCTTAGATTCCAGAGCTTCCCCAGGTTCTGCCCAACTAGCAGTCCCTCCTGTTTCTGCTACTTCCACACAAAGAACCTGCACTGACACCCCCGGACCTGATCGCTACTCTCCTCCTGGCTTGTGGTCTTACACTCCTCCAAACCCCCAAAGCACCAGGCCGTCGCCGTGGACGGCTCCCTCTCTTCCCTGAATCCTGGCTCTGTGTGACTGTGTCCTCGACATCCGACAGCCCATGAGAGCTCCTGCACGACAGCTGTGGCGCACTACAGGCGCTCTGTAAATGTTTGTTGCATGAGTGAGTGACAGCCTGCGTGTTTGCTAATGACCTGGGAAGGTTCTGGCTCTAAAACCAAAGCAGGGAGAACCTTAAAACACATTCTAATTAAAACCTCTGCAAGTGAGTAGAAAAAGAAGAGTTCATGGATAGTGAGAATGGCACCAAATTTTACCTAGATCTTTAATTCTTTAAAGGCTATTCCAAAATATCACCTTAAATGTAATCACTGTTTAATGTTTCTCATGTTCCACTATTTTAATAAAGATATAGGACTACATGGTTGTTCATTTCTAGAAACCTCAGTGGAGGCAAAACATTAACCTTGCAGATTAGACTATGGACTAGAGGCACCCTCACCTGGTGACAGCATACCTAGATTCAGACAAAACCAGTCTTTTAAATGCTGAGCCTTCGGACCTGAAGTAACATAGTGACATATGTCATATTAAGAAAGTAAAAGATATATCAGGGAAGAAAATGGAGAAGACGCAGGGAAGAGGAGTGAGGTGAGGTGGGTGTGAGTCCCAGCTCTGTGCTCAGACTAGCTGTATAACCTTGAGTGAGCCACTGTTTTCCCTCAGTTTGCCCACCTATTAAATGAGGGGCTTGGACCAGAGATCTCTGAGGTCCCTTCCTGCCCCAAAGCTGCCCAGATTCCCGAGGGCACAAGCCCCTCTCAAGACCCACTTGGGCCAGGTTGGCTTGTTCGGGGGCAGTGGTGACGTGTGTTCTGCAAGGGTGCCCCTTTACCGGCCAGCTCTCCGAACAGCACCACGGGCCTGTGCTGCAGTGCCAGCCCACTCCTCTGGCGCAGAGCAGTGGTGGCCGACCAGGGCCCCAGCAGAAGCCAGAGTACCGGGTGGACAGCTGAGGTGTCGTTCAGCGTGAGGTTGTAGCCCAGGTCCCAGTCGAAGTTGTTCCACAGCCGCCGATGGAGCATGACCTGCAGGAAGTACTCCTGAGAGGCCCATCGCACCTGAGCGTGCTAGTGGGTGGCCACAGAGGGCTGCGGCAGGACAGACTACGCCTTCTCCTACCTCCACCTGGCCGTTCCCCTGGCTGGAGATGCCGTGCGCCCGCTCCGACAGCAGCACAAGCCTGCTTCCGCCATCCTCCACGGAGGCTGATTGAACCATGGGGTAGTAATTCTGCAGACAGAAGCGTCACCAAGCTGGTGGTTGGGGCGAAGGGTGAAGTAGGCAGGCCACTCGGTCAGGGGTCACCCTCTGCCCCCCCAGCTAGCCCTCCCCACAGGCACAGCTGCAGCATGGGGTGGGGACCTCGACTTTGGAGACCAGCATGGGGCTCACATCCCAGCTTCACTGCTTCCCTGCCATGTACCCCAGCTGCCACGGGGCTAGGCCCCAGCTAAGCTCTTGACATCTGTCATCTCATGAACCCTCAGTCTGACTCTTTGATGAAGCAGTCATCTTACAGACGAAGTACAACCGAGGTCTCTCGTGTGTGGCTGCACCAGAATTCAGACACCAGTCTGACCCAGAGCCCGAGCTCTCCACCCCTGAAAGGGCAGACATGTGGGCAAGGGGGCTTTAAAAGAATTCTCTCCAGAGGCCTCTACCGCTGCAAGCTGGTGCTCAAAGGATTGGGCAGAGCCTGTCAGGGGTGCGCCCGTGGTCATCGCAGGGCATACCCGAGCAATGCTGTTGTTCTCGTAGGCCAGGTACGGCCTCCGCTGCATCTGGTAGCCGTTGTTGTCCGAGTAGAGGACCTGCCGGCTGTTCAGATCAGTGCTGGTCCTCAGGACAGCCTCTCGGTTCAGCTCCAAGGGGCCCACATGGTACTGCTGCTCTATCCGATGGCAGAGCAGCTCCCCGTCATGGCCCTGTGGTACGTGGGCGAGCCGGGAGTAGACTGCATACGTGTAATCCCGGGTGGTCACATTCCTGGAAGAGAAGAGGGCACCAGTAAGTAAAGCTCTGCGAGCCTTCTAGATGTTTCCTTCCCTCTGCCCTTCCTTCCTGAATGCAGGGCGGGCAGGCAGGAAGCTTCTTGGGCCACGTGGACAGTGGCCCCACCGGGGACACTGAGGGGTACTAGGGGGGTGGTCTGGTTCCCTGATGGCACAGAGCTGCCGTGCCAGGCCGGATGGCTCACGACTGCTCTGTTGGTGGAAGAACAAGGACTCCTCTCGTGTGGGTCAGACTCTGGGTCTCTGTCCCCGCTCTGACCGGCTCCTGGCAGACCCAGCACGGCACAGGCAAACGCAGCCAGCACATGCAGACGCTGGGGTGATTCGTCCTTTTCTCACACTTCCCTTGCACCATGGCATGTGCAAGCACGGCCCAGGGGCGAAGATGGACTTTCATTTCCACATTCTCCTGCCCAAGCGAGCCGGCCGTGCCTGGCTGTCAGGGTCACCCCGACGGAGGCACCTGTAGAAGTACTGCCGGATCTCAGTCACCAGCTTTCCCGCCATGATCTCCATTTCCACGGCCTCCCACGCGGGCGCTGCGGCATCCTTGGGTGTGAACACGTAGTTATCGGAAATGGGGCCCTGTTTCAGATCGCCATTGACGTGGTACTCCAGGAACTCCTGGGTCATGCGCACCGTTCGGTTGCTCTGCCTGCAGAGGCAGCAAAGAGCACACGTTATTTCATCATAGACAGTGACTTGTGATCTGGAACCGGGTTAGTAACCTCTGCGGAGCCTGAGCAGCATCACGAGTCTGCGCAACTAGGCTCATGGACAAGCTTGAGACCCCACCCACAGCCAGTGTGGCTTAGAGTCCATCCTGCCCCAGAGAGGATCACAAACAAGAGGGGGTGGGGACTGCAGCTGCACCAGGCACCTCGTGCGGCCAGCACAGGCGATGCCCGCTCACCCTGGCGGCCAGCCTGGTCTGCCAGGAAAACCAGCCCAAGAATGGGTTTTTGTCATGCTGACCTGAGCTGTCCAGCAGGAAACCACAATTTCCTGACCCTGTCCACCCTGCTGAATTTTCCGACCCCCCAGCCTGAGCAATACAGTGTCTCTACAAAAAAACTTAAAAATTAGCCGGGCATGGTGGCAAGTGCCTGTAGTCCCAGCTTCTCAGGAGGCTGAGGTGGAAGGATTGCTTGAGCCCAGGAGTTTGAGGCTGCAGTGAACTATGATGATGCCACTGCCCTCTACCCTGAGTGACAGAATGAGATCTTGTTGCAGAAAAAAAATTCTCTGACTCCCACGGGTGGGGACTATTAACCAGCCCATGGCTGAGGCACACCAGGCTGGGAGAGGTGATGTCACTAGCCTGGGATCACACACCTGGGAAGTGTGCGAGTGAACACTTAGATTCAGCCCCTACTCCAAACTGCCCACGCCCTTAAATTAGGATGTTTGAGTTACGACGGAGGATGGGGAAGAGTGGGAAGGGTCAGAGCCTTGTAGACAGATGAGTATTTTGATTGTAAGTATGCAATTTTTGGCCCAAGCAAGTCCACAGTGATCAATTATTTAATTTTGGGACAGGGTCTCACTCTGTCGCCCAGGCTGGCGTACAGTGGCTAGATCATATTTCACTGTAGCCTACAACTCCTTGGCTCAAGTGATCTTTCAGCCTCAGCCTCTCCAGTAGCTGGGACTGCAGGTGTGTAACACCGTGCCAGCTAATTTTTAAATTTTTTATAGAGATGGAGTCTCGCCATGTTGCCCAGGCTGCTCTCAAACTCCTGGCTTCATGCGATCCTTCCACCTCCCAAAGTGCTGGGATTACAGGCATGAGCCACGGCGCCTGGCCACAAGCGATGTATTGGTATCTGGGCCTGGCCTTGCCGTGGCGGAAGATGAAGCAGTGGACAGGCTCTGCACCCACTTTGGGGATTTCCATGAGACTGGGGCTGGGGCAGGGAAGGAAGTACTCTGCTCACAGAGAAAAGGGTCACTTTCATTAATCCGGCAGGAAAGGCCTTCGCCTCTGGCCGTGGACTCGCTGCCCCCAGCTTCCTGTTAAACAGCTTCGCCAGGGCCACAAAGAGAGTGGAAAGAAAGCCACAGTATGGGAAGAAGGACTTGCAAATCATATATGTGATAGGGACTTGTATCTGGAACGTGCATAAAGAACTCTTACGATTCAATAATAAAAAGACAACCCAATTTAAAAACAGGCCAAGGATCTGAATACACATTCCACCAAAGATGCACAGATGGCCAGGGGCTGCGTGAAGAGATGCTCAACGTCACTAGTTAGCAGAGAAACGCAAAGCAAAGCCACCGTGAGACACCACTTTGCACCCACGAGAATGGCTGTCACAGAAAAGACAGAAAATGACTTGTGTGCGGGTGAGGCATGAAGACATCGGAACCCGCGTAACCTGCTGGTGGGGACATGAAACGGTGCAGCCAGTTCCTCAAACAGTTAAACAGAGCTAACTTGCGACCTCGTTGAAGTCCACTCACTCCGGCTGTATAGCCAAGAGAAATGAAAGTGTTTACATGAAAACTTGCTCATGGGTGTTCATCCCAGCATCACTGACGGTTGCTCCCCAGCACCCACTGGCTAAAGAATGTGTGAACAGAGCGGCACGGCCACGCGATGGAGTGTTGCCCAGCCACGAAAACGCATGAAGTCCTGACACAGGCTACAATACAGATCTGTGCTAAGTGAAAGAAGTGAGTTCCCAGAGGACCGCACGGTGTGTGATTTTGTTTATCCAAATGTCCAGGAACAGGCAAATGGAGATGGAAATAGATTAGGACTGCCAGGGGCTGTGGGGGAGGGGAAAATGAAGTTTCTTTTGGGAGTAATGAAAATGTTCTGAAATCGATTGTGGTGATGGTCATATAACTGTGACTACACTAAAAACCACTGAACTGCACACTTTAAATGGGTGCATTGTGTGGTATGTGAATTATATCTCAATAAAGCTGTTATATAAGGAAAAATGAACTCCCCTCAACGCAAACTGCCCTGCAGTTGGTGTCCGTGCACACCAGCCATGTGGGGGGCCTCACCCCTCCCTGATGCTCCCCTGCCCAACTCCCCCCTTGCAGCCCACCCCCCTTCCCCACTCTCTCCCAGGGATGGTGAGGACAGACCCGACCGGGGTCCCATCTGGAGGGAAGTCCTGGGGCTCTGTGGCAGAGAGCTGCTGACCATGGCCCTGGGCTGAGCACCATGGACACTTCCCTCCACGTGAACGCCCCCTGCCTCCCCTTCCCTCTCTCTCCTCTTGTTCTGCTCCTGTCCTCTCCATTTCTGCCACATGCTCCTCTCTGGTTGGACATCGAAGTGGGTACTCTGGCACCGGCAGCTGGGGTTGATGAAAACTGCCCTGGATGTGGCCTGAGGAAGGACAGGGTTGGCCCCACACTAGGAGGACCTTCCTGGGAGGTCAGCTGCCCTCTCTGCACAAATAGCTGCCGAATGAATACGTGAATGACGGATGACTTGCTGGATGTCTGGGTGGTGGCTGGATGGATAGCTGGGAAGGTGGGCCTAGATGATTTTGAGGGTCCCTTCCTATTCTAAAGACAGTATGACTATTTACCAAATAGAGATTTTATGTTTGTTTAAATTAAAAAAGTAGGTAACACAGAATATATTTCTTCCCAGGGTGAGTCCCTCATGGCCCCCTTTTCCAGGGATCAGTAACCCTGGAGTGGAAAAGCATAAGACAGCCTTTCCTGCACGGCTACACTCACACTCCGAGAATTAAAGATCACAATGGCAGGAAGATCATGGTGGCTTCGCCACCCTCTGGTCCTTCCCCAGGGCAGGTGAGCAACTGAGACCCCTGGAGCCTGTGTGCCAGGCTGTGCCTCACCTCTCCCGGACGCTGTGCATCATGTTGGTGTCCTGGTCAAGCAGCACAGTGTAGCAGTCGTTTGCCACGGGCACCAGGCGCCTGCCCCCGTGGCTGGCATGTCTCCTCAGCCTGCGGCCAAATCGCAGGGTGCTGGTCATGGTGGCGGCCGCCTCCTGGGTGCCCTCCTGGGCCCCTGCTGTGGGCTTGATGCTGTAGTGCCGGTAACTGAGGCCCGGGATCGTGGCCAGGATATGCAGGACGTACGCTGATGGGGTCTCCGTCGAGTTCTGGACCTGCAAGGTCAGCAGGATGGGAGCCAAGGGTGGGTTTCAGGGCTGGATGACCCCTCAGTCTCCTCAGTGCCCTGGCTCGCACACCTGCTACTCCCTGAGGCAGCCAAGTTCTGCTCCCTGCACCCTTTCCCCAGTTGTGGCTTTGCCCTCTGGGACCCCCACAAAATACATTGATCCTGGGAGAACCCTTTGGCCACCTGAAGATGGCTGGCTGTGGGGGCCCAAGGCTTCTCTCACTCAGGCTGAACACCCCCAAGCTCCTTTAGTCATCCGTCCCCAGCCAAAAGTAATGCCTCCCAATTCCCAATCCCAAGTCCTCTGACCTCTTCTGGAACCTGGGACCCACGAATCCAGCTCCTTGCTCGACACCTCCACCTGGATGCCCACAGCTGACCTTACCAGCTACCCTCCCACCCACACCTGCTCCCCTGCAGCCACCCCACCCCCACCAAGGCCACCCGTGGTCATTTCGAGGCCTCTCAGAGCCTCTCTCTCTCCCCTCCCTATGGTCACCTGTGGGGGCCCCTCCCTGGACAACTGCCCAGCATCCTCACTGGTGTCCCCGTATCCACTCCCATCTGCGCCGATCCAGCCACTGCGGCAACCACAGAGAGCTTTTCAAGAGCCTCATCTGCTCCAGCGGGTGACATGGGCCTGTAGGGACCCAGCCTCCCCTCCCACCACCGCTCCTTCAGCTCCCCAGGCTCCTGCACCACCGCTGCCTCCTTCCCCACACTGCTGCCTTCCTGCCCCCGAGCCCTTGCTCACGCCGCCGGGCAATCCCCTAATCCTCAGTTTCCACGTGGGAGGACTTTCTCGGGTTAACCCTCCTGGCCTCTGCTCACCTCTGCGGTATCTCGTTTGTGGAGGGAGGTTGGAAGAGGTCACTGGGCGCGCTCAGTGAGCCCCACCAGGCCCTCCAGCTACAGCATGCAGCTTCCACGCCCTGTGGGAGGCATTTTGGGGGCCCTAGTAGCAAGCCCAGGATTGCTGCACATGCCCCTCAACCTAGGCCGTCCCTGAAATACAGCAGACACTTGCTCTCCACCTGCCCAACCCTGCATCGATGCCACTGGCCCACCTGTTTAGAGCATGTCCCTGCCCCCGTATCACGGTCGCATCGTCTACCACAGGCTGTGCTGCTCTCATTTTGTTTATGGCCTGCCTCCCTACCGAGTACAAGCCCCTGATGGCAGGGATTCTGTCCCCAGCACCTCGCACAGAGCCGGACACACAGTGGGAGCCCCAGAGCAGGTGCATTGCATCTAAGTGGGAAGGGGGCTGTGTGCCGGGTCTGCCCAAGCCCACGCCCCACCCCTTGCAGACAAGCTCCTCCTCATTCTTAGCCTCCGAAGGGGCCCTGCCCTGGCTCCCGAGCATTAGTACACACCATAGCTGTCCACACCTGTGTCCTGGGATGGGGCCTGGGCCTCTCGTGTCCAGGGCTGGGCCAGAATGGGCATCTGGGAGTGTTTGCTGAATGACTGAGTGATGTCAGCCCATCCTCCACCACCCCAAGGAAGGGTCGGCTGGGTGACATGTAGGGTGCCTTCTGGAGCTGGTGCTGGCTCCAGGGATGTCTGGGTGGTGCAGACACGGCCATCCTGGGCGCCACCCCCTGACATCAGCACCTCCATTAAAGCACCCCTCTAAGACACTTGAAGGCCTTGTCACATGCGAAAGTGGAGATTTGTATCAGACTACAGACGTGCCCAGAGGAAGGGGCGTAAGGAAAGCTTCCTGTGCAGGAGATTTTTGTAGGGATGTGACAGCAGGAGGCCCCAGGAGCAGGGAACGAGGGGTGTAACGCCACCTTCCTAATTCCCATTTGGCTTGAGCGATGCAGTGGACTCGATGTCTGTGTCCTCCCTCCAAATGCTGAAATCCTAATCCCAAGTGTCATTGCTTAGGAGGTGGGGCTTTGGGAGGTGCTTAGGTCATGAGGGTGGGGCCCTCAAGAATGGGATTAGTGCCCTTATGAAAGGAACCCCAGAGAGCTCACCCTCTTTCCACCATGTAAGGGCACAACAGGACGATGGCAACCCGCAAGAGACCCTCACTGGAACCTGACCACGCTGGCACCGTGATCTTGGACTTCCAGTCTCCAGAACTGGGAGAAATACATGTCTGTTGTTTCAGCCACCTGGCCTGGTGCTTTGTTACAGCAGTCCAAACGGAGAAGACAGGTGAGGACCTTAGCGCCCATGGTGTCAGCACATCAGTGCACGGGCAAGATGCCCGCCTGTGTGTGGTGGGGCAGCACCAGGCTCACGGTCAGGGCGGCCTCTCACTTGCCAGGGACTTCAGACCAGTCCCTCAGTCTCAGCAGGCCTCCACAACCTCAAGGTGATAGCAAGGACAATGACAGAGATGCCCCTCCGCTTCTGGCCACACTGGATGCCCCAAGCCCAGTGTCAGTCCCCTGGGTGGACCTGACTGGCCCTCAGTGGACACATGTCCCTCAGAGAGGTCTCCCCAGCAAGGTGTTGTCACACTTGCATTCTAACTATGGCCTTGACAGATCAGTGGTGGCTGGGAAGGTGGGAGTTTGCTCCCTCCCAGCTGTGGGCCCTCAGGGATTTTGTGTGGGACCGTAAGAAAACACATATTTGGTCTTTGTCTCCGGTGCCTGGCACAGAGCTCCTAAGACCACAGGAACTTCCCGAGTGAGAGGAGCATCTCCCATGCACAGGGAGCCCCTGTCAAGCCCACCTGCGTTTACAGTGAGGTGACTCCTGGTGGGGCTGGGCCCCAGAGCGACCCAGCAGGGATTAGAGAGTTGGGACGCTTCCATGTGGCTGTTCCTGAGTTGTCCCCTTTACAAGAAAACTGTCACTGTAAGTACAATGCTTCCCTGAGTTCTGTGAGTCATTCTGGTGAATTATCAAATCTGGGGGGGGTTGTGGGAACCCTTGAATTTGTGGTCACCTGGACAGAAGTGTGATAGCCTGGGAAGCCCATTTGTGGCTGGCATCTGAAGTGTGGGCTCTTATGGGACTGAGCCCCTAACTTGTGGGGTCTGTGCTCAATCCAGGCAGTTTAGTGCAGAATTGAATTGGACTTTGGGACACCCAGTTGCTGCCAGAGAAGTGGAGAATTGGTTGGCGTTGGGGAAAAAAAAAACACTTTGCCTTTCTGAGCCTCGGTTTCCTCACCTGTAGAACAGAGGTGACAAGGCTTCCCTTGCAGGGCCAGGTGAGACCACGTGCATACAGTGCCTGGCCCGAAGCAGGTGTCAGCAAACAGCAAATGCCCCTTTAGCTGGACTTGGCATCCATACCTGTGCAGGCATGGGGTGGCCCAACTCGTCTGTGACGCTGACTCCGGGGAAGCCAATGGTCAGGGTGATGATGGTGGTGACCGTCCAGGCCAGCGGGTTGTAGGCTGTGACAAAGTGTCCTACAGGCCCTGTACCTGCACATGGAGAACAGGCTTTGCTCGATGCTGCTGGGCTCACTCAGCACCCCTGGGTGCCCCTCAGTACAAGGGAAACTGAGGCAGGCAAGACTCAGCCTTCCAGAGCTCCCTCTGGAAAGTCAAGGTTCCATTGGTTCCTCACACCTTTCCCTATCAGCCTACTTCACTGATGAGGAAGCTGAGGTCCAGAAAACTACAGTCACGTGCCCAAGGTGACCCAGCTTCTAAGGCCTGCCTCCAAAGCTTTGAGAGCTTGGCACCATGAGCCACCAGAGAATTCTCTGGAACCTGCAGGGCAAAGTCCAATTCCTAGCCTGGCATTCAAGGCCCCCACAATGTGGACCTGGCCATGTCTGACAACTCCTGTATCCCTCAACACAGCACACGCTTTCAGCCTCCCTGCCTCTGCGCAGGCTGCTCCCTCCGCTGGGACGCCTCCCCTCGCCTTCTCTACCTGCTCCCTGCTCAGAGTGGCCGCCCTTGTGTGCTCACTGGAAGACACACCGGCTGGGTGAGTGTCTCATCAAAATGACACGAGCATCTCACAGGAATGACAGCTCTTCAACGGCCCCGCTTGGCGGTGAAGTTGTAGCTCTTTCTGCAACTGTCTCCCCCACCAGACTGGTATCCCTGAGGGCAGGTCCTTCCAGAGTCTGCAGGTCAGATAGGACTACACACGGACAGAGGGGGAAGGGACAGCGGGCCAAGTGGAAGGCACAGCCTAGACGTTGTTAGGGCAGTAGGCAGGCCAGAGTGGGGACATCCAGAAGTTGGGGACCTGGGGCCCTTGTGCATAGCAAAAATCTCATGCACATGTGGGGAGCCCAAATTGACCCCATTTGCCCAGGATTTTCCTGGTTTTGAAACCCCTCAGTCCTAGGCATGCTGGTATGACTGGTCACACTACATACGTGAGACCTCACACCAGAGGCCGTTCCCACAGCCGCCCTGATGTGAACTGTGGCCAAGCGGAGCTCAGGAGGGAGTGCAGGAAGCCAGGGTGGGGCCGGGCCCCTTAGGACACCCGCACCCCCTCTGCAAGGCAGGGCAGCGCAGGGTCCAGGGTTCAAGCCCCGCTCCACATCTTCCCACCCGTGTGACCCTGGGCTAGTCTACAGCCTCTCAGTCTGTTTCCTCGGCTGTGCGATGAGGAGAGTAACAGTTCCTATCTTGTAGAGATTTGTGAGGCATTGTATCAAATGCTGCATGAGGGTGTTTTGCGCTTAGTAAATGTTCAAAACGTGTTGGCAGTTATTTCTGCTCTAATGACCCTTCCTCATGTCACGGCTGAGGGGACAGAGGCTCAGAGGACCGAAGCCACTTGCCTGAGCTCTTGCCATCCCCCTGAAGCTCAGGTTGTCGAGCCCCCAGCCCCGACCTTTGTCTCAGAAAGGACCCACAGCCTCCCCGCAGGGGCCCGGCTTACCCAGGTCAGCCGCTGGGGCTGCCTGCCCTGCCCCGGGCTGGGGCCCGTCCAGGACAATGGAGGCCATGAGCTTGCGCACCCCCAGCATCCCCGAGGTCAGGTGCTCCTCGTACATGTCTCTCACCTTGGGGGACTCGGTCCCGGTGATGGCGTCGTGGTGCTGGACCTGCGGCACCCGCCCGGGTCAAGGAAGAACAGGATCAGGACCCGACCCTGCGAGGCAGCTGTGAGGCGCCCGCACCTGCTAAGCGCTGGCTCTTGGTCCCTCGCACCTGGCGCTAGGGGAGAAGGTGGGTGTCCCTCCCTCAGCTTCTGAAGCTAAGAGAGACTGATGAACTGGCCCAGCTTTTCTTGACCTTGTGGAAAGAAACCCTGTCCTTGTCCTCTCTCTCGGGCAGAAAACAGAGTCCTGGGAAGGTCCAGCTGCATCTCTGGGACCGAGTCTTCCCACAAGTGCCGATGGCACGTTGCAGGTACATTCCGGGCACGCTCCACTCCACTCATGACGTTTACACTCTGCACTGAGGCAGAGGTGGGACTGTCTCCTCTCCACGGGGGTGGGAAACTGAGGCTCCACAGGTGAAGTCACTTGGCCCGTCCTGCTTCGATGGAATTTAAAGTCACCCATTTCTCCTCTAACACAATGACGTGTTCTGGCCAGCAACTCCCTTCAGGTAACTGTAAAGATGTCACAGCCAGCGAGGCCCTGTTTTAGATGGGTGACTGAGGACAAGTTATAGGACTTTTCAGGTCTCAGTTTCCCCTTCTGTACAGTGGGGTCGAGTGGAGATGGACACTTAACTTGCTTTGTGGCAGCTGCCGAGCCAAGCAGGTTATTATCACATTTAATTGTGGGGGTGTCATTCTCATTGTCTGGGGAGGGAATCAGGGTTCAGAGAGGGAAGGTCATGTGCCTGAGGTCACACAGTTGAGCTGAGCTGTGAATCCAGGCAGATCTGCCAGAGTGACTGCCACTCCACTTTGTCCTTCATCCCTCTTGGTAAAATCGGCTCCAGAGCCTAATGAGGCCACCAGCTGGAGGACACCAGGCCTTGGCCTTGGTCTGGCTTCACCATGCATTGGCCTTGTGACCAAAGAGGACTTCAGTTTTCCCCTCTGTAAAGTGGGGCTTCTAGTGTCCCAGGGCTGGGAGGATTTGCTAGGACAAGGGCGGGGAAGTGCACTGCTGGGGAGGGTCCAACCCTGCTCTGTGGCTGAGAAGTGTGGCGTTACCTCGGAGACCGCCCAGCGGAGCTGCCGGAGCTGCTGCAGGGCCCAGGCTGGGTCCAGAGACCCCCGAGGGGCTGGCCACATGTAGCGCGTGAACATGGACTCCCCGGCATATAACAAGGCACTGGCTTGCCGTGCCAGCCCTTTGAGTGCACTGCGGGACGTGTAGAAGCCCGTCCAGGCCTGGAATGGTTCTGGGAGACAAGGGCAGATGGTGAGCTTGAGATGTCCCCTATTGAGTCCACTAAGCCCAGCCCTGGGAGAGCAGAGAAGCTAGGGCCACAGAGGCAGCCTCTGCCTGGTCACCAGGGACGCAGCTGGGCAGGAGGGAGACTTCCCAGAAAGCCCTGGACAGGGCCTGGGGCAGGCAGGCTGGGTGGGTGCTGGAGGACTGCGACAGGAGACTAGCCCAGAGTACGCCCAGGAAACCGGCACAGCTGTGCGAGCAAAGGCCCTGGGAGCCTGGGTGGGAAGCAAGTACGATCAGGCCCCGAGGCGGGACGCGCTGAGAAAGCTCGGGATGTGCACATGCTTCAGAAGGTCTCTCTGGCAGCCCGGGGAGGGTGGCTGCGAGAGGTGGCAGGAGGTGAGAAACGCTAGGTAGCCGCTGTCCTGATCCAAGACACAGAGGATGAGGATGGGACACAGCGAAGCACCTGGCTCAGCCTCAGCGTTGTTGGGAAGGGCTTCCTGGAGGAGGTGTATGTGCGACTTGTGCAGGAAGAGAAGGCGGGGGAGGGCGCTCCCAGAGGGGCCCTGCACAGGTGAACGTGTGGACGCTGGGGAGAGGCTGTGCTCTGGCAGCCAGGATGTCCAGGTGGGGCAAGTCTGGCACCCCTCTTGGGCTCAGCGAGCAGTGCTGAGCAGACACTGAGGTGGGCAGAAGGTCTGCACCCTCCCTGGCACCCCCAGACCCCAGAGGCTTGTACCTGTGGAATAGGGCAGGAAGTCGTGGTGGTCTTGGATGCGCCAGGTGACATTGAGAGCGTGCAGGGCGCGGAAGTAGTCGCTGAGTGTGGCATACTGTACGGAGACGCCGAGCTCGGCAGCGCGGCTGTTGATGTGGTCCAGCAGCGGGTCCATGTTGGCGAATTGCACCGAAGCGTTGAAGAACTGCTTGTCACACCCCTGCGGGCCGGACACGGAGCAAGGCCTGTACTCCGGGAGCAGAGCCCTGGCCTCCCCCCAGCCACCCTCCGACTCTCCAGGGTGGCCAACAAGGGCCCCAAACTGGCTCCTATAGCTGAAGCCCCTGGGCCCCTCTTAAAGCCCATCGTGTTGCTACTTATCCAAACCATAATAATATGTTTATTAATAACAGTGCTAACAGCCATGACTCACCTTCAAAGAAGGCAGTCACAGGTTAAGAAGACAGCTGTGAGGCCCTCCTGATCGGGTCAGACACAACTTTCATCCCTTCCTAGCCACTCTGCTTAGTAGCTGTGTAGTCTCAGGAAAATTCCTTAACCTCTCTGGGCCCCAGTTCCCTCAACTGCAAAATGAGATGCCAGCAGTGTCTGCCTCCTAGGCCCTGAGGTGCAAATTAGATGGGTGAGACAAATATATCCCATAAACAGTGCCTGGCACGCAGGGGGTGCTTGCTAAAGTATAGCCATGACGAGGACACGTCAGGCACTGGCCTCTGGGAACACCGTCCCTCACTTCTCACCAAGCCTGTGAGGCAGGTACTGTCATCGCCCCTCCGCACAGCTGAGGAACTGCAGCTCGGAGGGCTCTAAGGCGCACGGAGACTGAGCCGGGGGCCAGGCTCCAGCCAGGCCTGGGCCCTGAAGGCCGTGATGGGAAAGTGAGGCGGGCGTGGGGCGGCGCTCCCTTGGGCGGGAGGGGCCGGTGAGTCCTGGGTTGGGAGAGGCCGAGTGGGCGAGGCCCAGGGCTCTGCAGGAAGGGAGGACAGAGCTGCCGGGCTGAGGGTGGCTGCCTGGCCTGGCCTGGCCTGGCTAGGGTGGTCCTGGGTGCAGGGGCAGACTGCACTGCGGTCCCTGGGCTGTGCTGAGGGCACCAGGCCTGGGCCCCGCCTTACCCAGGGCCAGAGCACGTGGGGGGTCCGGAACCAGGCTGCCCGCTGCTTCACGTTCGCCACCAGGGTTTCGGCATAGAGGCCGATGTTGGCTGGGGTGACGGGCTCACTCATGTTGGGGTACACCCCATCTGCAGGTGGCTCTGGGAAGACGGCCACGCCATTCCAGTAGAACCCTGACCTGAGGGTGGGCAGAAGGTTACTCGGAGAAGATAGGAGCTTTGCGGACAGGCAGGCTCAGACCTGGCACCACCACCTACTGGCCCGGGGCCTCTGCACATCACATTACCCCAACCCTGGACTCTCCCCTCTCACGATGATCCCCCGGTGGACCAGATGAGATTCATTCGCTCGTTCATGCAGGCCCCCTCCTTGTCCACCAGACCCAGGGTCTCAGGACTCTAGGCAGGCTGCGGACGGGGTGAGGCAACTGGGGCCCTCGCCTAGGGCACAGAATTTAAGGGGGGTGCCCAAAATCTCAGTAGTCAAGATATATGATATTTTAGTGCAATACTTTAAAAAGTCAAAGTTAATGCAAAAAACCCACAATGAACAAAATGTCAGAGTTTAAACAAAGACAAGATCAACACGAGTGGATTTCTCCCTTTGCCGTGGTTCCGGCGTGGCCTGGCATGGCACTCATCCCAGGGCTGAGCTGCGGGGCCGAGACAGCCCCAGTGAACTGCCATCATGCTCACACTCTGCAGCCTCGGTGACACCCATGGGAACATCACCTGGAGCCCGTGGTCCTGGGCAGCCGCCCGGCTCTGCCACTGCTGACACATTGGCCTTGGTCCCCTCATTGGGAAGATGTGTGGCGGTTGTTATGAGGTTGGGATGAAAACAGTTCACAGACAGAAGCTGGACAGTGCCCGGTTCAGGGCAGGGCCCGACAGAGCCCACGACTGTCAATGAAGCCCTCTGAGGTTCTTCTCACCAGCTGCCCCTGCTGCTTCTTTTCCTACCCTAAGCGGGGCCGAGCACCTCACCCAAGGCCCCACACGCACAAAAGGCAGAGCCGGGATTTGAACCCAGAGCTATCTGGCTGCAGAGAGACCGCAGGTGGCTGTTGCCACGACATGGAGGCTTTGAAGCCAGAGACCTGAACCAAACTCTGGCTCTGCCGCATTTGCCAGCCGTGGGATGGGGGTGGGTTGCTGTGCCTCAGTTTCTCCTTTTATAAGGTGGGGCACTCTGAGTGTCTCCCTCATGGGGCTACTGTGAGGGTTTCTGAGGTGCTCGGAGCTGGCTGCCCATGCTCTGAAAAGCAGCTAGGAATGTGCACTTGGGCTCGATTCTCATCCTGTCCTCGGGGGCTCTCCTAGTCCCCACCGTGTCCTCACCAAGCCTCCAGGGAAGAGATGCGTTGTGAGGCGAACTGCCCCGCCAGCACAGAGGGTCCTCGCCCACGTGCCCCCCGTGCAGCCGGACCAGCACCCATCTGGCCCTCAGCCCGGCGGCCTTCGCCTCCCTGCCAGCCGGTGACATTATTCCAACAGGCTGGTCACATCCTTCCGCAGGAGCCACAAGGCACTACCCTCTCGTCTGCGCAGCCTGCCCTGCCTGCCCACCCTGATCTCAGGCAGCCCCTCTGGGCGCGTGTGACATGGGGCACCCTCCTCCTCGAGGCTGTGCACACGTGCATGAGAGTCACAGACGGCTGTCGGTCTCACCTGTCCCGTGTCAGGTGGTGTGTGTTCACCTACCTCGCTCTGTTCAGGGCGAGGACCCCTCCCTCACCGTTGGGGCAAACAGGAGGTGGTGGGGACGGCAGGTGATTCCACAAGACAGTGACAAGCAGATCCATCCCGTAACCCCTCCCCCCACTCCTCCTGCCTTCTTCACTGTAACCCCTGACAAGGACAAGAACCCAGAGAGGACAGGGAGGATGGGGACAAACCCTTGTGCCAGCCCCCCAACAAAGCCAGGCCACACCAGGAGCGAGTGGGGCAGCATTCGTGTCGGCGGCCTTCCGCCCGCACCCACAGCACCCCAGAGCCGGCACCCTCTCCAAGCCCAGTGGCAGGTGGGGGGGACGGAGGCGGGGAGCCACGTGGCCACTGTGGTTGAGAGAAAATCAAACTAGAAGAGTTGGAGAGTGTCAGAGAGAAGCTTGACAGCACCCCGGGGACGCCATGGCCGGATGGGGCGGACGCGTGGCTACAGGGGCTCAGGAAATCAGTGGGTTCACTTTCCTTGCCTTGCAAATGGGGGCAGCGGAAGCCAGAGCAGAAAGGGACCTGCCAGGGCCCCGGTGGGAGGTTCTTGGGAACGCTGACATAAAGACCTCATCTTCTAAATACTCCTGCCTTGGGACAGGGGCCCACGGCAAGGAGCAATTTGCTGTTATGTGGAACTGGGGTTAAATCCTGCCTCCCCTACTCACAGGCTGGACGACCTTAAGCTGATCACTTACCCTCTCTGAGCCTCAGATTCCTCATCTATAAAAGCAGGTTAATAACTCCACCCACTCTGTCAGGGAGGCTTAAAAATGTGAAACCCTATGTGGAATTCTTAATGAGCTATTATCAAAAAACTGCATAATAGCAGCATGGGCTGGGAAAACCCCGCTGTGTTCAGAGCCCCAGGGGGGTGCAGGGTCCCGAGCAGGCGGCAGGCGGCGAGGAGGACGCACCTGTTGGAGAAGGGTACATGGGACGGGGTGCAGTAGCTGTACTGGTCCATGATGTGCGTGAAGATCTGCTGCTGCGCAGACAGGGACGGGGACCCCTGCCACACGAACTGCAGCTCCTGCAAACCGGGAGGGAGCAGAGTGAGGGCCGAGGGCCAGCGTGGCCGCTGGGCTCTGCCTCCCCCAGCCCCACTTTTCCTCTTCTCAGTGGTTCAAGGACAGGGTCTCCCTCTGCTGCTTCCTCTCGTGCGCCCAAAGCCACACGTGGTGGGATCTGCCCTCCAGAAGGAGCTGCTAATCCACCCTATCTGTTTCTCAGTGCAGGCTTCTCTCTGCCAGGGCCTCTAAGAGCAGCTCATTCTAACTCTGCCTGAATACTCCCAGGCACAGGGAACTCATCATCTCCCACCAAGTGAGCAGTCTATTTTTAAAAAATTATTCTGATGTTTGGAAGGTGCTCAGGGTTACAAAGCAGGGATAGAATCCTAGTTCATAAAGTACTGGCTCTGGGACCATACACAAGTGCCTGAGGCCTCTGTGACTTGGTTTCTGCGTGAAAAATGGGGACAACCTTGCCCGGCTCATAGGGCCATCTGCAGGCGAGATGCAGCTGGCACAGCAAGTGTGCTCGGTGTTCAGGAGGGGCCACTGAGCTCCTACTGACAACGCAAATGACACCACTCTTGCCCTCCTAGGGCCTAAATCCACTGTGTGCAACTCCCTCTGGCTAGGACTACAGCTGCTCTCTAGAACCTTCTCACCAGAATGATCCGGGACAGGGTTGTTACCTTTTTGGGCCTTAGTTTCCTCACCTGTAAAATGGGGATAAGTATGACTCCACTCATCTCTTATGGGTTGAATTGTGGCCCCCACAAAAGCTATGTTGAAGTCCTAACCCCTAGTACCGCAGAATGTGACCTTATTTGGAAGTAGGGCCTTTGCAGGGGTAAAGTTACAAGTTAATCAAGTTGAAATGAGGTCATTAAGGTGGGCCCTGATGCAGCAGCACTGGCGTCCGTATGAAAAGGCAAACTTTGGACGCAGACACGCACAGAGGGCAGACGGTGTGAAGACACAGGGAGAAGACAGACATCTTGGGCCGAGGAGAGAGGCCTGGGGCAGATCCCTCCCTCACACTTTCAAAGGGGACGTGGCCCTGCCAACGTCTTGATTCCGGCCCCCAGAACAGTGAGACAATAATAAATTTCTGTCATTTGAGTCACCCAGTCTGGGGTGCGTTGCTACGGCAGCCCCAGCAGACTAATACGGCAGTAGGCGAAACGAGGGATGGGTAGTATCTGGCACCAGGCAGATCTCGAAATAGCTGCCCACACACCTGAAGAGTCATTACGTCTCTGCTGACCATTCTCCTGGCTGAATACACCCTGCTGTTTGCCTGTCGGTCAGCCACCGCCCGCCCAGTGCGGTTCAGCTCTAGCAGCCCAGCCGCAGGCCTGGCAGGAGGGGGAAAGGGCCTCGGAGCTGGAGGCGTCCACGCTGGGCCTGCGGGCGGCACACGAGGCGCCTGACTCACCCGGGCCACCTGCCTGGCCTCCTTCAGGTTGTAGTCGATCCGCGAGATGAGGTGGGCATTGAAGCCTGCCAGCGCAAAGAGGGTGGGGGTTGTGGCAGACGCACCAAACGGGTCGACGTGCCAGGAGAACTGTGGCCGGATCCCAAATGTTTCATAGAGAAACCCGTGTCCTTCTGCAAAGACAGTATCGCCCTGCTGGTGCCTGGCAGGTGGGCGCCCCTGCCTCCCTGCTCGCACTCACCCAGGCTGCCCCCCATCCGGCAGGCCACAGTGCCAGCCACTGGGCAAAGCAGGGCCACATGGGTTGGCAGAGGCGAGGGTTTCAATTTTCAATGTTTAATTGTGGAAAAGTACATATAACACACAATTCACCATCTCAATCATTTCTAAGCACACAGACCGTGCACTAACACAGTACCACTAGCACATTCGCACTGCTGTGCAGCTGTCACCGCCATCCGTCTCCAGCACTCTCCCATCTTCCCAAACCGAAGCTCTGTCCCCGTGAGACACTGCCCCCCCCCCAGCCCTGGCACCCGCGTTTCTCCTCTCCTCCCTATGGATTTGACTCCTCATATAAGTGCAACCGCATGTCCTTTTGCGTCTGGCTTATCTCACTGAGCATAACGCCCGAGGCCTTCGGCGGCACGGCCCGTGTGGAGGTGTGGGCTTGGTATGAACTTGGAAAAGATGCTGATTCTGGTCCGCAGCAGAGCTCTCAGGCATCACAACATTAAAAGGCCAAGTGTGAACTTCAAATCTGAGGGAGCGTTGGTTCAGAAATGCATCCAGAAACTACTGCTGCTTCTTCAGGAGGTGAGGCTCAGGGCCCAGAGGGTGGCTAGACTCAGGGACTCCTGGCAAACATGGCAGGGCCCGAGCGCCAGTGTGTGCCTCTGGGACGAGGCGACAAAGGGCACCGCAGCTTCGGCCCTGGGCCACGCGCCTGGGGAAGCTGCCCGACCTGACGCGCAGCGAGGACCTGAGCCCTCCTCTCACAGCCAGTGGCGAGGGGGGAAGCAGAGCCTCTAGCCCTGGTCTAGCCTCGAGGCGACGCGGCCTGCCCCGCCCCCCATCCCCCTGACACCCTGATGGCAACTTCCCGAAAGACTCTGTGCCAGAACCACCCAGCTAAGCCCTTCCTGAGCTCACCCACAGAGACTGTGGGTGTGAACCGTTTGTTGTTGGAAGCCACTGAGTTTGGGGGCAACCTGCTACATGGCGGTGGACAACCAATACAAAGGGCTCTATGCCAAAATCACCCGGCCAGTCATGAGTCAAGAGCCACCACAATGGGCCGGACCTAGGGCTCAGTGCTGCAATGGAATGACATCCCACACTCATACAGGTCCTTGATTGACCTTCCCCAAGCCCTTCCCCCAAATATTACCTTCTTAACATCCTAAGAGACAGGTGTTATAATCTGAATTTTAAGGATGGAAAACAAGATTCAGGGAACTCTAGTAACAGGTCTAGGGGCAAATTGCCTTCATCGATAAACTCCCCCATCCTGCAGACCCTGGCTGAGGCCCGGATGACACCAGCATTCTGGGACAGGGCAGCCACGAGACCCCAAAGCAAGGGCAAGACAGGGAGGGGAGAGCTGCTGGGAGGCGTGGGTGCAGCGAGGAAGGTCTGATGGGATCAGAGGCGGAGGAAGTAATTGACAGCTCTCCAGGGAGCCCGGCTGGGAGTGGCACCCCAGTCCTCAGGAACACTGGCCCGGCAGGCAGAGGAGGCGGAGCAGGAGCAGGAGCAGGCAGAGGCTGGAGGAGGACAGGGGCGTGCAGGGGCCAGGGTGTGTTAGGGACAGAAAAACAAGCGAGAGGTAATGGAAACCAGAAAAACAGAAAGGAGAAAACATTTATAGAAAAACAATAAGGAGGAAATGGTTGCAGAAAAATATAAAGAGGGAAGAGTTATTTCAGTCTTAGAGAATGAGGTAATCGGGCCATGAACACTGACCACCAGTCAGAGAACAGAAAATACACCACAACAGGTTACGGCACTTTCCCCACCTTGCATTATTAGAAAGAATGACTGAAACACGACCTTTAAGTCATGTCCACACCTGGAAAGAGTTCGGTCCCCAAAGCAATGAGGTATAGTTATGATAACTATAACTAACCTTTACCTAAACATAAAAGCATATAAAAAGAGAAACCTAGAAGTAGACAGTGTCTCCTCCACTTGGGGAGACAGACCCGCTTTCCCCTAGGAAACGTACTTTCACTTTGCACCCTTAAACTTTCCTTACAGTAAATTCTTCGTGCGTACTGGCTGGGTGGCTGTCATCTCTCTCCGTCACACGGGCCAAGGCTTGTGATTCCTCCAAGCCTGGAGCCCAAGCACTGGGGCGACACTTTGGAGCCTGTGTGTTTGGCCAAGCTCAGCCGTGACCAGGACTGTGGCAGGTGCAGGAGGGAGTGGCTGGCAGCACCGCGCTGAGAGAGGCCTGTGAGCTCCGAGGGCACCGCCTCCCACCAGATGGGGCAGCCGGGGTGGGAGGCAGGCCCACGCTGCCAACCCAGCACGGCACACAGACCTTTCCTCACTCGCAGAATTCTCGCTTTGTCCGGGGGGCGCCAGGCCCAACCCCGAGGGATGAATCACAGCCGACCTAAGTCAGACCTGGCAGGCTCGCTCCCCTCTGCCAGATGTTTGTTGTCCTGGTCTGCCTGGCAGCTAGAGGCAGTATTAGCTAATTAGCAGGGCGACCATTGGGCTGAGACAGCAAACTGAAATCCAGCTCAGCAAATAGGAAGACAAAATGTAAGCTCAACCAATCAGAAACCACCAGCCAACCTCTAACTAGGGACTTTTCACTATAACCAACCAAACACTTTCTTCATCTTGATTCGTGAGTATCTGATAAAAGTTTCCCCCACATCCCCCTTGGTGGAGCTCTAGTGCTTCCCAATTCATGAATCGCTGTTTGCTCAAATAAAGTCTTTAAAATTTTAGTGTGCCTAAGTTTATCTGTTAACAGAATGGACTATGGATATAGCCAATAACAAGTGTGGGTTAAGCCTGTCAGTTTCAGGGGAAGATTTTCCACCTTAATTAAAGAGAGAAATAGGAAGAAAGCCCCTTTCCCCCTTTCTCCTGCCTTGAATGTGGCTGTATGGCAATACGATGCCTGAGCTATGGCAGCCACATTGTGACCACGAGGGTAAGGCCATGAGAATCACAGATATCAAAGTGCTGCCAAATCAGTCCCCAAACTATCCCCAGCTTGTTAAATAAGCAGTAAATGTCCTCCAGACTCAAGTCACTTTACTCAGGTGTTCCGGCCCTCCTACAGAAAGCTCTCCTGAGAGTTACAGGTGACTAATGAATGAAACTGCTAATTGGCCCCCAGTAGATATCCTCTCCTTCCTTCTATTACAGTAACAGAACCACACACTCCCTCTTGGTTTTAGCAGGGCACATGGACTCCCAGCCAGACACTACATTCCCCAGTTTCCTTTGCAGCTAGTATGGGGCACATGACTCTATTTTGGCCAATGGGCTGTGAGCAAAATATTGGACTACATTCCCCAGCCTCCCAGCAGTTAGAGGGGACCATGTGACTGAGTTCTGGCCAGTGGGAATGTGAGCAGAAGTGATGTGAGCAGGTTCTGGGTCACCCTTCACAAAGAGGCTGCCTGCCTTCTCTCTCCCATCCCCTCTCCGCCACCCTGCAGGAATGACATCTCAGTGGGGTGAGCCAGCAACGAGGACAGGTGGATGGCAGAGCGGCATGACAGAAGCATCTTAGATCTCTGGATCACCGTGTGGAGCGGAACCACCAGTCCCCAGAGTGGCTGCAACTGCAGATTTCCATGAGAGAAAAAAACCTTCCCTCTTGTGGGAGCCACTGTCACGTGGTCTCTGTTAAAGCCGCCGAGCCAGCATCCTAACCAGTGCAATGACCAGGACAAGACGTAGCTCGCCAGAGTGTGCGGGGCAGAGGCCACGCTGCAGGGGCTGAGGGGAAGCAGAGGAAGCCGGGAAATAAGAAGTATGGCTGCAGCCCAGGCTGGAGAGACCTGCTTTCCTCCTTTCAGGAAACATCCTTTCAGGATAATGTTAAGTGTGCTTTAAGCACTACTGGGGAGGGGTCGGACACACGGAGGAAGGTTGAGGAGAGTCTGGCGACACAGGCGAGAGGGATCACTAGTAGAGTGGGAGGGGAAGGGCCGGGGGAATGGCCTAGAGCTTGGGTTTGAATAACCAGGACAGCAGTGGCCACCCAGGACAGGCCCAGGTGTCTCCTTCGCTCTGCCTAGACCCTTCCCTTCCTCCACTCAGGCCAGCAGAGCCCCAGCTGGGCTCTCTCCCTGTCAGGAAGCGGGTGGGGGTCTTTCCCTCTGGCACCTGCCACTCTTCCAGGCCTCTGCTGAGAATCCCGGTGAGGAATCTGCCACCCCCGGGCTGCTGCCCACACCCAGCTTTTCCCAGTCACTGAGGTGCTGGGAACAAATGCTTTTCCCCTCACTGGAAATGTCACGTCTAAAATTAAGGTGGGTGTTGGCGTGACTGCCAGGAACGGGAGCTGGAGGAGGCAAAGACAAGAGCGGTGAGCTCCCTGACAGGCTCAGCTCTCCCCAGGCCTCCGGGGCAGCCAGCAGGGTCTTGCCAGAGCAGGTGATCCAGAACCCAGCCACCCCAGGACAAGGTCAGGGGCCTAGTGGCCCCGACCCAAAGACCTCGCCTGGGAAGCCACCGTGGGCCGAGCCCGGAGGCCGTGCCTGACTGCAGGCTTCTTCCCGTGCTGCCCAGGGCCTGCCTTGCTGCAGGGCTCCGCAGAGGCGAGACGGAGGACAAAGGGACCCAGACACAGAAGGGGTCTAGTGCCTCTCACCTGAGAAACCCCAGGCCCTGGGCACGGTTCACAGCCAGAATCCCCCGGGACACCTGGGATGTGTGGTTTGAAAAGGCCACCCAGAGAGTCTGACATGTACCCTCTTCCCCTGACCGAGGGACTACGAGTTAGAGAGAAAGCCCCAATCTCGTCTGATCGCGGAAGCTAAGCAGGGTCAGGCCTGGTTAGTACTTGGATGGGAGAGACAGCAGAGGCCAGACAGACCTGGCTTTGAGCTCCAGCTCTGCTACTTACTGCACACAGATCCCTGCACACCTCGGTGCCTCAGTTTCCTCACCTATAAAGTCAGGCAGTTAATGGTACCACTCGCTACCAGGCTGTCCTCAGCAACCAGGAGGCAACAGAAGGGAAAGGGGCTTAGCTAACAAGGAACCTGCCGACTCGGCTGGGCTCAGGTCACATCTGGGACCCATCACGTAGCTGGTGGTGTGACTCAGGCACATTTTGACAGCAACTGAACCTCAAATTTCTCCTCTGCAAATGGGCATTTGGAAGGTCATCCATCCACAGGATTGCCCTGGGGGCTGAAAAAAAATCCGTGCACGTTTTGTACCTAGAGCAAGGCGGTCACCACGCAAGAAATCCAAAGTCTGTCCCCTGAGGGCCCCATGCGTTTGGGCGGTTTTGGAAATGGAGCCTCACAGAATCCACCCACTCTACAGGGGCTCCTCCTGCCTCAGAGCAACAAAACCCCACCTTCCTGGGGCTTCCAGCTGCCGTGCTGTAGGTCAGGCCTGCGGGGTCAGCACTTGTGCGTTCAGGGCAGGGGCACACCGGGCTGAGAGCACAGGCGAGGGCGCCCCAGCTGTGGGCACCCCCGAAGCAGGGCAGTTCAGCGCCCGCCTCCTGCCCTGCCTTGCCCACTGAGCACTTGTTTGCCAAGGCCCTGTGCCGAGCCCCGGGGACCCCGATAGGAGTCAGACAGGGGTCCCTGCCAGGGGCGAAGCAGGGAGGCCATGAGGAACTGTGGGGACCCCAAAGGACATTTCCTGGAGGAGGCGCTCAGCTGTGGCTTGAGGATGCAGGTGGAGAACATGAGGGAACACCACGAAAGAAAGCTCAGGCGTGAGGAACAGCACAGGAGCCGTCGTTGCTGGCGCAGGGCGGCAAGCCCGTGAGGGAGGCCTATGGCAATGCTGCGTTCAGGGTTGAAACGTCATGAGAAGAGCGCGGGCTTTGGAGTCGGGGAACCCCGGCATGGTGGCTGTGGGCAAAGCAGCTCCTCTCTGAGCTTTGCTTCCCTCACCTGTCACCTGGGGCAAGAGGACCACTCCTGGGGTGTGGGGATGCAGGGAGGGGGCACAGGACGAGCTCCGGGCACAGTGGGGGCTGTGCACAGAAGACAAGGATGAGAGGCCCGAGAAGAAGGGGGTGTGTCTGTAACGCCACCTCTTCCGTGGAAGGGCCAAGTGCAGGGACTGACTGAGCGCAAAGCAGCAAGCAACGGACACAGGGGAGACTCCAGACCACAGACGAGGAGAGAAGAGAGTGCTAGAAACACCCTTAGACAGCATCACACCCTGCCTCGATGGTTTACAAATAGGGAAATTGGGGCCCACGCTGTTGCGAAGTGACCGTGGGACTTGGAGCTTCGGTCTCCAGGCCTGGACTCAAGTTCTGGTTATTTGTCCTTGAGAGAGTCAGTTCATTTCTTTGGGTCTCAGTTTCTACATCTGCAAAATGGGACTGAGAATCACAATGCCTCCTCATCAGCCTGCCATTGCGATGGGGTGGGTGTTGTCTGTGAAAAGCATTTGGTAAACAGCAAGTAGAGTGCCCACTGCCACTGGGGGTGGTGGTGGTGAGGATGGAAGAGATGGTGGTGAGGGAGATGATGGTGGTTGTGGGCAGGATGATGGTGGTGAAGGCGGTGATTGCGGTGATGGTAGAGGTGGAGGTGGTGATGGTGATGATGGTGGTGACTGTGATGATGGTGGTGGTGACAATGGTGATGGTCACTGTGGTGGTGGTAGTGGCAGTGGCGAAGGTAGCTAACATTTACTGAGCATTTACTAGAGAACCACACACCTACTAAAGGGATTATTCAAATTATCCCAACTGAATCCTCACAACAACCCCCGTTGGTAGGCATTACCATCAGACCCATTTTATTGATGAGGAAACTGAGGTGATGTTCCCTGCCTAGGGACACAGAGGTGGGAACTGGACAGCCAGGCCATACCCAGGCCATCTGACTCTAGAGTCCACGCTCTCGACCTCTACGTTCACTTCCCTCGGCCAGGCGTGCAGATGGTGCCAGAGCGTCACTGTTTTCACTGGCCAAGGTCCCTGCTTTTAGTCTGGATACTTGTCCCCTCCAAATCTCAGGTTGAAATTCCATCCCCAGGTTGGAGGTGGGGCCTGGTGGGAGGTGTTGGGTCACAGGAGCAGGTCTCATGAACGGCTTGGTGCCCTCCCGCAATACTGAGTGAGTTCTTGCTTTGTGAGTTCATGGAGAGCTGGTTGTTTAAACAAGCCTCGCACCACCTCCTCCCGCCCTCCACGTGACACCTGCTCCCCTTGACCTTCTGCCTTGACTGGAAGCTCCCCGATGTCCTCACAAGAAGCAGATGCTGGTGTCATGCTTCTTGCACAGCCTGCAGAACTGTGAGCCAAAATACCTCTTTTCTTTATAAATTACCCAGTCTCAGGCATTCCTTTACAGCAGCATGAAATGGTCTCTTTTTTTTCTAAGACAGAGTCTGGCTTCTCACTTTGTTGCCTGGGCTAGAGTGAGTGCTAGAGTGGCATCAGCCTAGCTCACAGCAACCTCAGACTCCTGGGCTCAAACGATCCTCCTGCCTCAGCCTCCCGAGTAGCTGGGACTACAGGAGCTTGCCATCACACCCAGCTAATTTTTTGTTTCTATTTTTTACAGCAACACAAAATGGACTAACAGATCTGCTAGGGGGCAGCCAGAGCTCAGACCCTGAGGGCTCAGACACCCAGTCCCAATCCCACTGGAGGGACCCTGAGTGCAGGGCAGGGTGGCCAAACCTGTGAGCTGTAGGATCTGGTCATCAAAGTGGGTCACAGCTTCATCATGCATGACCTGACCTCCGAGGACAAACTCCAGGCGTCCTTCTTCCAGGAGCTGGCGGACCTTGGCATGGGTGGGCAGAGAGAAAAGAGCCAGGTTGCAAGTCATGCCTACTGTGTCTCACGTGCCCTCCATTGAAACTCCTCACCCTGTTAATTTTGCAAAGGCAGGACACTGTCTGTTCTGGTCCACACTGTGTCCCCACCACCTAGAAAGCATGTGGCCCACAGCTGATATTTGAAATATATATATATGTCTGTATCTGTGTGTGTGTGTGTGTGTGTGTGTGTGTATTTGCTTTTGAAATAATTTCAAACTCATAAAAAAGTTGCAGGAAATAGCACAAAGAGCTCCCTTATATATCCTTTCCACGGATTCACTCATCATTAACATTTTTGACCTATTTGCCTTAACATTTTCCTTTTCTCTATGCACTTACTCTGTTTTTTCTAAACCACTTACAGTAAGGTAGCAATATTGTACCCTGACTGTAAATTTCAGTGTGTGTACACAAACAGCTCCTTATAGACTGTACTTTTGGTTGACTTTCTAATGGTACTGTATTTGTAGGTCATTCACTCAACAACGTTAAATGAGTACCTATTACACGCTGGGCGCTGTCCGGGCACTGGGGATTCGGCAGTGAACAAAGACAAAAGTCCTGTCCAGGGAACTGGGTTGATCACAAACCCTGATCTAAACTAGTCCTGTGAAGAGCCCAGTGGAGTTTTAGCCTCATGGGGTATGCTGGCACGGCCCTGGCCAGACCGCCCAGTAGAGTTTCCTGCCAGGATCTTCACTGGGCCACCCTGGCCAGCTGTGTCACCTGGTGACTACGTTACCTGGTGTTTCTGCTGGTCTGAGGCGACGCAGTCCCACCACAGGCGGAAAAACTCCTGCTCCACTGCGATGAACCGGCGCTGCCGCCCACGGGAAAGCTCCTCCAGCACGGAGGTGTAGACGTTGGCTGCATATGCCCGCATGCTTTCCTGCGGAGGGGACACCATCACACCAGCCCCAGTGCGGGCTCTGAGAGGGCTTGGTCCCAAGGAGAAGACTCTAGGGAGACCAGATGTCCCTGGGGCCTCTGCCACTTGCTGAGCACATCTGCACAGGGTGGAAGGCCCTTCCCTTAGCACCCCACTGCTCACCTACGAAATGGCTATGGGGCGCCCCCTCTGCACCAGATGTACAGTGAGGGCTGGGACTAAGAGGACGGCATGGGCTCTCCCTGCTTTCAGACAATGACACCCTGCGTGGGCAGAGGGATGTGCCAGGCCAGGGGTCAGGGACAGCTTCTCAGAGGGGGCGAGCCGGCAGGGCCCTGAGGGGGCAATGTGCGGGCAGCACAGGAAAGCCCGAGAGGTGAGAGGCGGTGTGTTCCAGGGACCCCAAAGGGGCCTGCTTGGGCTGAAATGAATGGAGCAGCAGACACTGAGAGGAGGAGCTCCCTCGGCTGTCCCTGGAGTCTAGCCGCCTGCCTTCCCCAGGCCAGGAGCTCTGCAGGCTGGAGTGCAGCGGCTTCCATTGGAGAGTCAGGGCCCAGCACACGGTAGTGCCCAGACAGTGCTCATTAAGTGTATGGTTAAGAGCACTGAGCAGGGAGTCAGGAGGTGTGGGGGTTATTCCTCAGTGACCTTGGACAAGGCACTGACCCTTTCTGCGCCTCAGTTTCCTCTTCTGGAGGCTGGTTGTGGCTGGCATACTTCCCCATGCCCTTATTCTGTCTTCATCCTGGGGTGGCTCCCCCACACCTTCCCACAGCCTGTCAGAGGCACCCCAGGACTGGACTTAACACTCGACATCAAATCCTCTTCCTGCCTCTCTCTCTTTGTTAAAATGTCACTACTCATTCATTAATGTCCTTTGTAAAGTCATTATATCCATACTCACAGAGAGGTTTTTGCTCATTTATTTAGGTATTTCCTTCCTCATTCCAAAAAAGAGCTCAAAGAAGCTGTTTCTGCTTCAGAAACCACAGGAAATTGAGGCTTTTCCCTCATTTTCCTTTTGCACTCTTACCATTCATTCAACAAACATCCAGGGACACCCACTTGTCAGGCATGGCGAGAACAGGTCAATGAGAAACATGGATGAAGCCCCTGCCCTGTGGAGCTTTTTCAAGTGGGGAAACACAATCAACAAGCCAACAAGTAAATATAGGGGCCCTTAGATGATGACAAGTGCTACGGACAAAACCCTAAAGGGAGGGGAGGCAATGCAGGTTAGATGGGGTTGCTGGGAAGGCCTCGCCAAAAAAGTGACTTTGAAGTAACAACTGAAGGAAAGGAGGAACTGAGCCCTACAGATATCTAGGAGGAAAGCATGTGGGGCAGGACACAGCCAATGCAAAGGCCCTGAGGCAGGAGTGGTCTTGGAGGTGTTGGTGGAAAAGCAGGGAGACCAGCATGGCTGGGGAGGGGTGAGGCCAGGTGCGGGCAATGCTGTGTCCTTCTGAGTTGTAGGGATTAACTGCCCACTGTGTGCCTTGGCCAGTGTGGGGCACATGCCTGATGGCAACTGAGCATTTACAGAGATGACAATAATTTGAGTCCCTCCCTCCCCTCACATTCAAGAGTCAGAAGAGGGCTCAGAATGCAGCCTTGGAGCCCACCTTCTCACCATCTGGGAAACTCCAGGGCTGCCCTGAGGCCCAGCCCACCACTGAGCCCACCCTTTACACAAATCAATAACAGGCTGAAAGGCGAGAACTGTGGTAAGGGCCTGGCTAAAAATAAGGCCCAGGCCCAGCTAAAAATAATGACAATAATTAGCCACTGTCTCCTTCTGCTACTCTGGAGCCACAGAGCTGGTGGTCATAAAGATTCTCAGCTTTCTCCATAGATAATATTACCTTTTGAAACCTAGGAGTAGTTTCAGAGATATCTTTCAGGCTCCCCATTCCAGTGGAATGGCTGACCCACCCAGACCAGCCGCCCATACCAAGGAACTGACCGAACTGGTGTTGCGACCCTGGCCCAAGAACCTGGTCAGCAAAGAAGACAATTTCTATAGCCCTATAGTTCCACACCGAACCCAGCCGATTAGCAGACTCAATTGCCTACAACAAACTGTCTTTAAAAACCCTGTCTCCCAAATTCTCGGAGAGGCGAATTTGAGAAATTTCTCCTGTCTCCCCGCTTAGCACTATGCAGAATAAACTTTCTCTGCGGCAAACCCTGCAATCTCGGCATATTGGCTTCCTCTTGGGCAGTGGGCAAATGAACCTGGTTGGGCGGCAACAACACCCCAGATCAGACCAGTTCTCGGGACCCCAGCAGCCCCAGGCTGTGCTAGGAATCTGACATCTACCACTCCTGGAGTGCCAGGCACCCTGGATATATGGTAGGGATTACTGTCCTCACTTTACAGACGGGAAAACTGAGGCTCGGGGAACGAAGCCCCTTGCCCAATGTCCTGAGCGGAACCACAAGCTGACCACAGGCCCAACCCCAAAGCCTGTCCTAGGGGTTATGAAGGACCCTGAACTGGCCTCCAATATCCTGCCCTGCAGGGGACCCGCCCCAGCCTGCTTTCCATCTGGCACCTGACATCCCCCTGCTTTGAAGCCAGCCCACCCCTCCTGCTCCAGGCTTACTCAGTGTCAACCCCCACACTGGAGTCCCCACTTCTCCCCAGCCTGGAATGCAGGGGCCCATCCAATCAGTGCACTGCTACAGAAGAGGAAACGGAGGTTCAGAGTCAGGAAGCGAGCAGCCCAAAGTCAGAGGCTCAACCAGTCCTCAACAGAGTCCAATCTTGAATCCAGGCTGAACCTCCCTCCTCTGTGCTGGCATCCGACCCGGGAGGTAAAGCCACATTCGGATCCGCAGGGAGAAGGAAGCTGCAGCTTCAGAGGGCGCGTGGAGCGTCGCCGGCCACCCACCTGCACCGTGTAGACCCAGCCCACGTCCATGTGGCTGTGGGGCACCACGAAGGCTCGAATGGGGCCCGCGGGCCGGGCCCCGGGCGGTCGCAGCAGAAGCAGACGCAGGAGCAGCGGCAGCCAGCGCAGCTGCCCCATCTCTGCGGCCGGCGGGGACGGCGCTCGGGGCAGGCAACAGTTCCGCAGCGCCGGGAGACTTCCGGGTCCCGGGGCGGGGGCGGGGCCCGGACGCGCCCATTGGCCGTGGTCTCGGCGCGCGCGGGCGCGGGGGCGGGTTCTAGCGCCAACGCTCGGCGCTCCACCCCCAGCTCCGGTTCCCTGTCTGTCCTCGACCGTCCCGAGCACCAACCGGCCAGCCGAGGGACCGCATGGCGCTCCACCGGGGGGTCTCCGCCTCCGGGGCTGCTCCTGGGAGCCCTCCCTCACCTGGGCCCGGCCCGGGGCGCCGCACGGGGGGAGGAGGAACTGACTTTCGGAGACTGCTTGCCAGAGGGCGCACAGTTGGAAGACAAGGCTGACTGAAGCTTTCCGGGTTACCGGCCGGTGACTTGGGGCAAGATGGTTCGCTCTGAGCCTACGCAAAAGGGGAGGATGCGGGGAGCTGTGAATTAGCTGAGAGAATGCACGGAAAGTGGAGACGAGCACAGTGTCTCGGGCTGCCCATGGTGGGGGGCAGGCACATTGGTGCATCCCGGTGGGGTGTGAGTGTGGCCTGGGGCTGTCCCCGTCCACCTCCCTTCCCGCAGAGAGCAGGGTCCGTGGTTTGGGGTTTACTGCCTGAGAACCAAATGGCTGGGCCCCTGATTGGCATTTTCTCCCGGGGCGGACCGCGCTGGTTACCTTGCCAGCCGCTTCACCTACTCAGCACAGGGAACCGAGAACACGTTCTCTTTCTGCCTACCCACCCCTCTAGCCGGGCCCCTGGGTCAGATGTGGATAGCGCTCACCAACACCTGTGTCCTCGCTGCCTTCCAGGGTCACAGCCGGACTACCCTTCCCAGCCCCTGCTGCATCCAGGAGTGTCAGCCAGCCGGACGTGGCAGGGCTGTGCCCACTTCCAGGCTGGCCAGAACAACCTCCCACGCGTGCGCTCCTCTCTCTTCCTCACCCCAGTGGAGGGCACGCTGAGGACCTCACAGAGGCCAGAGCCACTGATGGAGGCCCCGAAGGACCACATGGAACCACGAGGAACTCCACAGATTTGTTAATATTTTCTCCACATGAGAAATAAGCTGTTATTGTGTTAGGCCACTGAGTTATCTGACAGAGCAGTGTCACATTGCAGCGGCCTCCAATCTTTACACCAGGCACCGGTTTTGTGGAAGACAGTTTTTCCACCGGTGGTGGTGGCGGGGGCATGTTGCTGCCTTGGCTCCACCTCAGATCGTCAGGCATTAGATTCTTACAAGGAGTGCACAACCCGCATCCCTGGCATGTGCAGCTTACAGCGGGTTCATGCTCCTGTGAGGGGCTGATGCCCCTGCTGATCTGGGGGGACGGGGCTCGGGTGGTGATGTGAGCAATGGGGAGTGGCTGTGGGTGCAGGTGGGGCTTTGCTTGCTCACTGGCCACTGGCCTCCTGCTGTGTGGCCTGGTTCCTGGTGGGCCACTGCCCAGTGCTGGTCCACAGACCGGGGCTTAGGGACTGCAGACGTATTATATTTGCCAAAGATGGCCTTCACATCACCCACCCCACAAGCTCCTCATAGGCTGTGATCTTGGCATTCCTCCCATTGAGACATGGGGTCTGTATCTCCTCCTGTTAAAACTGGGTGGGCTTGTGACTCACTTGTCACAAGAGAATGTAGTGAAAGCGGCATCGTGTGACCTCCATGACTTCCGAGGCTAAGTCAGAAAAGGCAAGGCAGCTTTTGCCATCACTGGGGCACTCATCCGTGGATCTCTGAGTCACCAGGTCAGCAGCTCAGCTGTCCTGAGGCTGCCACACCGTGAGGATGCCCAAGCAGCCCACGTGGGACAGACTACGTGGAGAAGCGTGAGTGCACATGAAGAGAGATGCAGCCCTGGCTGTTTCAGCTCCAGTCCCCATCTGACTGCAGCCACACGTGAAACCTCAACATTTCCCCTTCACTCACTAGATCTTGGCCATGTATATTTCACTTTGTACCTTCCTCAAGCCCTTTGCACTAGCTCTTCTTGCTGGAGCTGGTCTCAGAGATGAAGCTGATACTCATAAGTCCCAGCACTATTACCGGATCAAGTTGCTTTCACTCGCAGCTTGTACCTGTGATGGACTAGACAGCTCACCTGGTGGGGAACCCTAAGATCTTCAGTGGGTCTGAGCCCCTGGTTACCATGCTGTTTTTGAGCTGTGGCTGCTCACTTGACTATTTACTGCCCACATCAGGCCAAAGAGTACTGAGAGACACCCATGTGGGTGCCAAACAGACTCTTCTCTGCTTCCATTGGGTGACAGCAGCCCTACCTCCGCTGATGGTCCAGCCAATTACCCCTGCTAGATTGGCGATGCTTCTTCTTGCCTGCTGGTGTCTGGACATGAGCAGCCCAATGTGACTGGTGTTGCTTGGTGGACACATTTCCCCTTTGGAAACCAGAACCTCTGAACCTACGGAGTCTGCAGTCGTGTGGACAGGAAGCACAAATTCCCCAAGCCAGTCACTGGAAGTGGCACTAAATTAGGCTATTCCTGCTTCCCTCCCTTGGCTCTTGGGCCCATGGATTTTACCCACAGGGGACACCATATGCTGGTCATTGACTTGGGGTATATATGCACCCTGGCGGGTATCGCTGCAGCCTCACAGGTGGCACCTCCAAGCTGGTGCTGTAGCTGAGACTTCAACAGCCGTCCCATTCCTCCTCAGGCCAGCAGCCTCTGGGTGGCGTGGCACAGAATAGGACCAGTAGACACCATGATCCTGTGCCTGACGTTGCACCTCCTTTGACATGAAGTGGATCCCTTGGCCGGATGTGGTGTTACACCCTCTCTTGGGGCTCTCCCTCTGGAGGAAGCCAGCAGCTATGTCACAAGGACGCTCAAGCAGTCTGTGGCGGGCCCACACAGAGAGGAACTGAGGCCTCCAGCCAACCGCCAGCACTGCCTTGCCAGCCACAGGACTGAGCGCCTTGGAAACATATCCCTCAGCCCAGCCCCAGCCGTCCGGGCAGCTATCTTGACTGCAACCTCATGAGTGGCTGTGGGCCACAAGCACACAGCTAGGCCTCTCGAGAACTCTTCCCCTATGGACACCGTGAGGATAACAAATGTTTATTGTTGTTTTGAGCCACACTGCTTAAAATACTTGGGAATTCTTTCCCCAGTCTCTGGTGACCTGAGTAAATGATCACTAGTCACACTGGGGAAGCACTGGGGGAATTGCCACATGACCTTGCCATGGCGTGGCAAAGGCCTTCTTCCCAGGAGCATGGTCTCTCCTTCGAGTGATGGGTTTTGGATTTGAAAACTGCCTCAGGTCTGGAGACTGGGCAAGGGACCAGGACTTTCCTTTGGGGTGGCTGCCTCAGCCTCCTAACCCATCCATCCTTGGTTTCTTCTGATATCACCCATGTCAGCTGTGTGTCTGTTTTGCTCCAAGGGATAAAATGTGTCTCTCCATGCCTCGCCATGGAGCCTGCTGCTCTTCCGCTCTTGAAGTTCATTACCATGACTGCACTGACCTTGCTTTTGATGGTTACATGCAGGCTCCTGGCCTCATTTCTGACTCCTCTGATTCCCAGTGTGGTCAGGAAGTCCAGCTCTGTGATGGCACCTCCTACCACCCGCCCTGCCTACGGACGGCAGCTCCATCTCTGAGCTACTTGCTGATGTTGGTGCTTGTTCAATGGAATGTCCTCTGGGCTCCCTTGTGGAACATTGTCATGCAGTGGGTTTTCTGGCCGCTCTAGCCCACAGCCACTTCTCTGAATTTTTTTTTTTTTTTTTTTTAAGAGACAGAGTCTTGCTGTATTGCCTAGGCCGGAGTGCAGTGGAGTGATCATAGCTCTCTGCAGCCTCGAACTCCTGGCCTCAAACGATCCTCCTGTCTCAGCCTCCCAAAGTGCTGGAATTATAGGCATGAACCATCACGCCCAGCCCCATTTAACTTTAATTACTTCCTTACAGGCCTTATCTCCAAATACGGTCACACTGGGGGTTAAAGCTTCAATATATGAATTTTAGGGGGATACAATTCGGTGCACAGCTGAAGAGGGCTCCCATTTCAGTAAACCATTGCTGATCCAACCTTATATTCCTCCCGCACTGGATGTGGTTGGAAGAGCTCCTGCCTCCTGTTGCTATGTGCTGGCTGGGCCCGCAGCTCCTTCGGGGTATGGTCCTGGTCCTCCCTTGCTGTCCCCAGCTGGGCATTGTTGTGACTTAACCCCAGTGATTATGAGTCAGCATGATTTGTGGAGTGGATTCTGAGGGCAGCCTGTATGGTCTCCAAGTTGAAGGCCATGGTGTCATCTTCAGGCAAGAAGGGAGTACTGTCCTTTAAGAGAGGAGGAGGGCACATCTGCGGGCCCTATGGGTTCAGGGAAACCTTGGAGAAGCACAATTTGGTGATTGTGTCTCAACCCAGACATCCCACCTCTCTTTTCTCAGGGCCCCAAGCTTGGCCTTGTAGACACACCTGGGCTGGGGACACAGCCTTCCCTGCAGCTTTGCTCCTCATACCTAAGTCCTGGGCCACTTCTCACTTTTTTCTGCCTCTATCGCAGAAGACGAAAGTTTATGTGCTGCCAAGAATATAAGGAATCCGTTATTCTGGCTTCCATGCCTGGCCTTCCGCTGGGATGATCACTCTCAGCTTTTCCCTGTCTTCCTCCGAAGCACTGAAAGCTCCAAGCAAGAGCCATGCACTTCCGAAGTCACTATTTCTGCCTCTGTCTCAAAAGCTAGAAAGACACAGTGCTTCTGCCAGCAAATTCCCTGCCGCTAGCACAGCATCCCAGTCCCTGCTAGTGAAAATTCGGCAATCGTACCGCTACCGTGTTCCAGGACTACCTGTGTTCTTCCTCCTGCCTGTGAGGGACCTTGAGGCCAGTCCACCAGTGGATGGTCCAACTCCAAAACCCACTTCAGAGTTGGCTCTTCCAGAGCACCCTGGGGCCAGCTGTCATGGGTGTGGGCTCCTGGGGAAACAGACTGGGAGATGGGTGTTTGACCATGGGGAGTTTAGTGGG